GCACGACGGACTTCAAGACCGAATACGCAACGGGAAAGGTGAATGAGTGGGTTAGGGAAATCCAAGCTCTGTCTGAGATTGCTAACACAGAGCCACATGCGGCTTTTGCAGCATTCACCCATGGCGTCAAGCATCGCTGAAACTACCTCATGCGCACTATCCCTGATATCGGACCCCTGCTCCACCCTCTGAAAGAAGCTATCAGCGTCAATTTCATTCCCAAATTAGTGAAACACCCTCACTTAACCCCAGCAGAAAGACCACTCCTTACACTACCACCGAGACTGGGAGGAATGGGACTAACCAATCCAGAGGAGATTGCTGCCACTGAACATCAAAACTCAGTTAAGTTCACGGTAGCCCTCAAAGACCACATAATAGCTCAGAACGCAACAGGGGAAGTGGATACCAGTGAAGTAAACAAGATTCGAAGGTCGATTACGACAGAACGACAGCACGGCCAAAGTGATAAGTTGCAGCAACTGTTGCTGCACGTACCAGAGAATTTGAAAAAAAAAGTAGCTATAGCGCAGAAGGTGGGCGTCTCGAACTGGTTAACTACGTTACCGATAAGGGCAAATGGTTTCAGTTTCAATAAACAAGAATTTACAGATGCCAATGCTTTAAGGTACGGTAGGCCAGTAGAAGGTTTTCCCTCCCAATGCGTGTGTGGCTCTTCCTATGACGTCGATCACGCCATGGTGTGCAAGAAAGGGGGATTAATATACATGGGGCATGATGAAGTAAGGGATCTTATAGCAAATACTGTATGTTGAAGGAAATCTGCCGTGATGTCATGGTAGAACCGACCCTCCTTCCATTGGACGGTGAGATCTTCTAACATAGGACTTCAAACACATCTAACGAAGCCCGTATTGACGTCAGTGCTCGAGGATTCTGGATGCTGGGACAGCGAGCCTTTTTCAACATCAGGATTTTTTATCCCATGGCCACATGTCACCGTAACCTAGCTCTCGATGCTGCACACAGGATGAACGAGAACGACAAGATAAGGGCAAATAGGGGTAGAGAATTCAAAACGTTGATCAAGGCAGCTTCACTCCTCTAGTGTTCACAACCTCTGGTGGGATGGGACCAAATGCAAGATGATTCTACGCCAGACTCGCGAAGGTGATCTCCGAACAGAAGCAGCAGCCCAGAAGTTATGTTACAGCCTGGATGAGATGTCGACTGTCCTTCTCTCTCCTTCAGTCGGCTTTGCTCTGCCTCAGGGGAACGAGAGCTTCGGCCCCAATGCCGACAACAGCTGCAGATATTGACTATGAGGCTACAGTCATTGAATGCCGCATAGATCTGCGGCTCAACTAATTCAACACGGCTAGGATAGCTACTTATGTATAAGGATATTTAATATTAAGGTAATAAAATGGCGGCGAAGGTGTGGCTATTGGGGGAGGCTGTAGGCCACGTTATAAAAAAAAAAAATTGTAGTGTTAGTCGTAACAAGTGATCATGGGCCCTTCGTACACGGTGGCAAGTCAGGTGGTACAGTTTACCGAGGCGTGAAAGTTCGAACGCTCATGCTTGGCTAGCGCGCAAACGCCGTCCTGCTGACAGCGTATAGCTACATCGTTTTCCAGATGGTCGTGGTTGTTATAATCATGGTTGTGGTTGTCATAATTATGGTTGTGGTTGTTATAGTCATGGTCGTGGTTGTTATAATCATGGTCGTGGTTGTTATAATCATGGTCGTGGTTGTTATAATCATGGTTGTGGTTGTTATAATCATAGTCGTGGTTGTTATAATCACAGTCGTGGTTGTTATATTCATGGTCGAGCTTGTTATATTCATGGTCGTGCTTGTTATAATCATGGTCGTGCTTGTTATAATCATGGTCGTGGTTGTTATAATCATGGTCGTGGTTGTTATAATCATGGTCGTGGTTGTTATAATCATGGTCGTGGTTGTAATAATCATGGTCGTGGTTGTTATATTCATGGTCGTGCTTGTTATAATCATGGTCGTGGTTGTTATAATCATGGTCGTGCTTGTTATAATCATGGTCGAGGTTGTTATAATCATAGTTGTGGTTGTTATAATCATGGTCGTGGTTGTTATATTCATGGTCGTGCTTGTTATAATCATGGTCGAGGTTGTTATAATCATAGTTGTGGTTGTTATAATCATGGTCGTGGTTGTTATATTCATGGTCGTGGTTGTTATAATCATGGTCGTGGTTGTTATAATCATAGTCATGCTTGTTATAATCATGGTCGTGGTTGTTATAATCATGGTCGTGGTTATTGCAATCATGGTCGTGGTTGTTATAATCATGGTCGTGGTTGTTATAATCATGGTCGTGGTTGTTATAATAATCTGTGGTCGTGGTTGTTATAATCATGGTCGTGGTTGTTATAATCATGGTCGTGGTTGTTATAATCATGGTCGTGGTTGTTATAATCATGGTCGTGGTTGTTATAATTATGGTCCTGGTTGTTATAATCATAGTCATGATTGTTATAATCATAGTCGTGGTTGTTATAATCATGGTCGTGGTTGTTATATTCATGGTCGTGCTTGTTATAATCATGATCGTGGTTGTTATAATCATGGTCGTGGTTGTTATAATCATGGTCGTAGTTGTTATAATCATGGTCCTGGTTGTTATAATCATGGTCCTGGTTGTTATAATCATGGTCCTGGTTGTTATAATCATGGTCGTGGTCGTGATACTTACAGTATCTAATATACCATAAGAAGGAATAGCATAAAGGTTAGAATAAGTAGTAAAAGAAATATTCTCCATAAGGAGAGGTTAAAATCATAAAAAAAAAATTATTATGAATCACCGATAATCATTCCGAGGTAAAATATATTATGAAGTGAAGTGACCTTGATTCTGGTTAGATTAGTCACCATCTGCTTAAGTCATCACCTGTGTTAAGTCATCATAGTCATCATCTCCTTTAGTCAGTTTTAGGCCCATCTCACATGACTGACCGACCATTGATGTTCTTTACGCGCGAGGGTGTTAGTTTTCAATGCGTCTTACTATTTACGCTGGTGGATGTAAGACCTCCTACCCTCACTGACGCAGCTATGGTCAATTTGGTGCTATTCTTGTTTATAAATGCCTTGTAATCTGTCTCAAGTCTATCCGTCCTGTCTATTGCCATCCCAACTGTCTGTTCGTCTGTGTGGTGTTTGAATGTAAGCCCGTCTGTACTCTTTGTGTCGTTAAATCTGTCTGTCTTATCCGTTGTTGGCGTGTGTCTGTCTGTTTGTCTAATGTGAACCAGTCAGTCAGCTGTCTGTCTGTCATGTTAGTTGCCATATTGTCTATTTGTGAATGTATGAATCTGTCTATTTTTGTCAACCTCCTGTCTGTTTCACTGTCTATATTCACCCTGTGTCTGTTGTAGTCATCTTCTCCATGCATTGCTGTTATTATTTTTTTATCTCTTCTCCTTTTCCATGAGCCACAGGAATAAGTATACACTGTAGCTGTAAGGTCGTCTGGTAACGTTGAAACTGCGCATCCAGACGCACGATGAAACTCAGCTCCCCCCCACTTGTTATCTCTAACTATTTTCTGTTTCCTCTTCTTTATTCTTCTATTTACTCATCTTCCTTCCTTTACTGATCTAAACAACATTACAAAAAAAAAGTAGTCTAAGAAAAAAAGTGGGGGGAAGCCATACGATAACTGCAATCGTGTGCTGACAGTGTACAGCGAATGAGGGTGTGCCAAGTCCGGAAACTTGCATCGTTTTCCAGCGTAAATAAAATGGTTATGTAATGGCTTTCTAAAGAAACCATCGATATGGGACCAGGTTTGTTCCACTCTACGAATATTTTGCTATTTTTCCACCAAGTTTGATGAAAAACGAATGTGCCGTTTCGGCTGCCCAGAATAGACTAACACACACACACACGCCTAGTCCTATAGTATATTAGATAGTTGTAGTGTTGGTGATGGTAATGCAGGTTGACAATCCCTTATCCGAAATCCTTGGGGCCAGAGGCATTTCGGTTTTCTGAATTTTTCGGTTTTCAGAATTTATTTTATTTTTTTTTTTGTGTATTAGCCCACCCGGGCATAGATCACTGACCCACATTGGGGCCTGGGGGTCGAAAATATAATAAAAATATAATAATAATAATAATTCATAGGTCTAGGTCGTGTTTCTCACTTTTGATCTTTTTTTCATTCTTGTATTTCTTTACTGTATTATTATTTTATTATTACAGTATTATTATTATTATTATTAATTTTATTATTATATTATTATTATTATTATTATTGTTATTGTAATCATTATTATTTTATTTTGGTGTATTTTTATTAAAAATTTTATTTACTATGAATATTATTATTATTATAATTATTATTACTATTACATTTTTGCCCCCCAGGCCCCGATGGGTCAGTGATCTGTGCCTGGGTGGGCTAATAATCCCTGTTAAAAAAAAAAAATCGGTTTTTAGAGCCTTTCGGTTTTCGGAATTTCGGATAAAGGGTTGTCAACCTGTAATGATAATTGTTGGAGTGGTTGTAGTGTTAGTAGTAATAGTTGTAGTGTTAGTAGTAATAGTTGTAGTGTTAGTAGTAATAGTTGTACTGTTGATCGTAATAATATCAATTGTTGGAGTGGTTGTAGTGTTAGTAGTAATAGTTGTAGTGTTAGTAGTAATAGTTGTATTGTTGATGGTAATAAAAACAATTGTTGGAGTGGTTGTAGTGTTAGTAGTAATAGTTGTAGTGTTAGTAGTAATATTTGTATTGTTGGTGATGGTAATAATAACAATTGTTGGAGTGGTTGTAGTGTTAGTAGTAATAGTTGTAGTGTTGGTGATGGTAATAATGATAATTGCTGTAGTTGGTTGTAGTGTTCGTAGTAATAGTTGTAGTGTTAGTGATGGTAATAATGATAATTGTTGTAATGGTTGTAGTGTTAGTAGTAATAGTTGTAGTAGTGGTGGTCTAACGAGTAGCTATTATAGCATCGGTAATGTTAATGATAGTTACCAGTAATAGTGGAATTATTATCACAGCTGAATTAATAAATTAACCAGAATATTTTGCTGACAGTGACCAAAACCCCACCTGTGTAACTGACGGGAAGCAACACCCTGAGAGAGACTGGCTGTTCCTGCTTGTTGAGGGGTGAGAGTAGTGTTCTGCCGGCGTGTGCGTATGTATTTGTGTGCGTTATGAGTGTAATAAGAATACATCGCTACCACTTACCGGGAGGTACACCCCGCCATGCGTCCCGAATAATGGGGGTGTTGGTTATAGTGGCTACGACGTCAATAATGTGGGTGCAACACCGTCTCCCTCTCCCGCCCATCATCGCCCATCATCAAGACCACCCGGAAATGTTCATATCAGATCAGGTAAATATAAGACTTATGTTTTCCTTTAGGGAATAAAAAATAATAATCTTTTTCATTACAGTTAAGAGTAATCTTGAGGTCATCCTCAGTATCATTCTTGTGTTGTTGAATTAGTTAATACAGGTTAATATTTCCAGTTAAGGTTAGCATTAAACAGACGACCATTTAAGAATCTGCGAAGTAAAGTTACAGAAATAAATCTGAACTATATGGTGTTAAACTTGATGGTGACCTTTGATCCCAGCGAGGGCACGGGAGCGTTGCTTCGTGTGTGTGTGTGTGTGTGTGTGTGTGTGTGTGTGTGTGTGTGTGTGTGTGTGTGCGCGTGCGTGCGCGCTCTCTTTTCTGTGTATGTTTATAGGGTTGACGTGAATATGTGACTAAAGAAAGTTTTGTGTTAGTGTGACTTGATACATTATGTGTGAATTCATGCGGTGTTTTTGTGTGTATCTCTGCGTGTCTTTAAAAGAGAATATTCAAGGGGTTGTGGTTTTGTTTTAGATCATCAGCTGCTACACGAATATCTTATCGTCTCATTGCCTGTCTGATTCATCCAATGAAAGGATTTTGTTTCACGATTGTCCTCGTGCCACTCTCCTGCGAGGTACTGCTGGATGTGCAAGTGTTGCCTCGCCCCCGAGGGTATTGGAATGACCCTGTTTGTATGTTTGTGTCTGTGTGTCTGTGTTATCACCAATAATGTAATGGTGAGGTCAAGGTCAAAGGTAAAAAGAATTGTGATCGAAATTTCAAAAACCATATTGTTCGCGATAACTCGGAAATTTTCCATTTTAATTATTGAAGAATGATGCATAAAAAATTCCATTGACCTATTTCGCTATTATATCACATTTTTCAAGAAAATTACATAAAAGATGATCGTTTTTCATCCAAAAATAACACATTTGAAGAAAAAAAAACATTGCTTACGTGTAATACAAATGACATCTGCTTTTGGAACTAACTTTACAGTCCATTTGTGGTGTCTCATAAGAAGTTTGACCTTCATAGGTCAAAGGTCAAGGTCAAAGTTTCGAAAATCAGACACCAGACTGTTTAATTTGAATTTTTGCTTCAATCCAATCCAGTTACTTAAACATTAATTAACTTACTTTGAATACAGATTGGTTACGTTATAACAGAAAAAGAACTAGAACAAATTATGCCATATGTGAACTAATTTCCATTAAGTTTTACCAAATGAAATAACATCAACCTTATTAGGTAAAAACAGCACCGACCTTTTAAGATTAATTTAAACGATTATCCCAATTTATCTTGACGTGATGTGTATATAATAAATCGAGGGTAATTACCACGCGCAGGTAAATATTACTTCACCTATCATACTGCTTCCTCATCACTCTGTACACCTGCTCCCCCCTGTCTCTCTCTCACTCTGCTGCACACACACACAACCATCACACACACACACACACACACACACACAACCATCACCACACACACACACACAAACATCACCACACACGACCATCACTACACACACACCCATCACCACACACACACACACACACCCATCACACACACACACACACACACACACACACACACACACACACACAACCATCACCACACACACACACACACACAACCATCACCACACACACACACACACACACACACACACACAACCATCACCACACACACACACACACACACAACCATCACACACACACACACACACACAACCATCACCACACACACACTCACACAAATCATCACCACACACACACACACACACAACCATCACCACACACACACACAACCATCACCACACACACACACACACACACACACACACAACCATCACCACACACACACACAACCATCACACACACACACACACATAACCATCACCACACACACACACGCATACATATCCATCACCGCACACACACACACACACATACAACCATCACCACAACCATCACCACAACTATCAACTACAATCACCACAACTATCAGCCACAAACATCACAACCACAATTGTAACAGCAACCACAATTGACATCACAGCCATCAACCACAACTATCACCCACAATCAACATCACAACTATCAACAACAACTATTAACCCCAATCAACATCACAACCACAACCATCACAACAATCATAATTAACATCACAACTATCAACCACAATCAACATAACAACCACAATCATCACCACAACCACAATCACAATTAACATCACAACTATCAACAACAATCACCACAATCACAATTAGCATCACAACTATCAACCACAATCAACGTTACAACCACAATCATCACCACAACCACAATCACAATTATCATCACAACTATCAACCACAATCAACATTACAACCACAATCATCACCACAACCACAATCACAATTAACATCACAGCAAACAACCACAATCACAACTAGCATCACACCTATCAACCACAATCAACATTACAACCACAATCATCACCACAACCACAAACACAATTAACATCACACCTATCAACCACAATCAACATTACAACCACAATCATCACCACAACCACATACACAATTAACATCACAACTATCAACCACAATCAACATCGTAACCACAAATATCATCACAACTACAATCAACATCACAACCATCAACCACAATAAACATCACAACCCACAACCACAATCACAATTAACATCACAACTATCAACCACAATCAACATCACAACCACAAATATCACCAAAATAGCAATCAACATTATAACCATTAACCACAATCAACATTACAACCCTCAACCACAATCAACATCACAACCCTCAACCACAATTTTCACCACAACCACTACAAAAACATATTTCTGTGGTACTGATTTTTTTTCAACGTTTGGGAAGAACACTGTAATGGATGTTAAGGTGAAAGTCAACTACCACAATCACCACAATCACTGTAACCACCACAATCACTATAACTTCCACAATTACCACAGCTACTATAACCACCAGGATAATCACCACTATAACCACCACATTCACTGCAACCAATATAACTGCTATAACCACCACAACTAGGGTAACCGCTACCAAAACAACCACTATTACAACTACAACCACCACATTCACTACAACTATCGCAACCACCACATCACTATAACAACTACAAGTTTATAAGGGATTCATTCGACCTAACTTGGAGTACTGCTCTCATATCTGGGGTGGCTCTTCTTCTGTCCGTTAGATAGGGTGGAATCAAAGGCATTTCGTCTTATTGACTCTCCTCCGTTAGTTGATAATCTTTCTTTCTACTCCGGCAAGTAAATGGGGAAGTGCCTCTTGACTTCAAAATCTCGGCAATAGTTTTTTATCTTTTGATTCCTAGTCTCTAGTGTGCGTAAATATTTCCAGGTGGGAGTGGAGTACTCACCCTTGGGCAACTTGAGATATTGATGATTACAAATATTTCAATCATACTGACACATGATATACAAACATTTATTTATCTTCTTGGCATGGAATGATGAACTAACAATGAATTTCACTCGTATATCATCACATGTGTTGTCTCATAGCAGTTTGGCACTTTGACCAAATTTGCTGACTCGACATTTTACTGACAGACAACATAATCATGAAATGTTTTACCAGCGTAATCATTAATATTATGAGTCACTGACGCATAAAGAGCAAATCTTGCTGCATTCATATACAAAATCCAGTCATACATTAAGTCATCATCATTACTGCCATCATCAATATTAACAATAATATTCGGTAGTAGGTAGTAGTCAGCTATCAAACAGGGAGGTACTACCGCCTGGGGACATATTGGAAGCATCATGTGTTGTCTAATGGTAGACCCTGCTGCCATATGGCAACATGAAAATTGTGACCCAAGTCCCAGGTTGCTGATCTGACTTTCTGCCTCATTTACATACAATTGCAGGGTCTCAATTGTTTCTCTTACTTTGACAACACAATATACATATATTGTTTCTCGCTATTGACCACCAAATTCACTACAGCTATTACAACCACCACATGTACTACAACCACTACAACTATTACAACCACCACATTCACTACAACTATTACAATCACCACATTCACCACAGCTATTACAACCACCACATTCACCACAACCTTCACATTCACTACAACTATCACAACCACCACCTTCACTTCAACCACCACATTCAATGCAACTATTTCAACTACCATATTCACTACAATTATTTCAACTTCCACATGTACTACAACTATTTAAACTACCACATTCACAACAACTATTACAACCACCACATGTACTACAGCCACTACAACCACCACATTCATTACAACTTCTACAACCACCACATTCACTACAACTATTTCAGCCATCGCATTCAATACAACTCCTACAATCACCACATTCACTACAACTGTTACAAGCACCACATTCACTACTACTACTACTACTTTGCTGTCACTCGGAATAGAGTATGACGATCATCCAGCTATGATACAATGATATGAGTTATTAGGGATGTTTCCTTCGTTGGTGAGTTTTATGGTGAATAAAGAGGCCGATACGGGACCAGCAGGGTCGTCCACTGATATTGCACATGTGGACGGCTCCATCTAGTCACTTTAGTGCAAGAGGGGCGGCGGCAGCGAATTTCCATTATTGGCGCTTGTCTGCCTTGGTTTGCAGTCAGCGTAACTCCTAAGTATTGACACCTTCTCGTGTAGTGCTCCTCCAAGCGTTGCTGTGTTAAGTAATCGTTTCCCAGGTGAGGGGATTCATTTGGCACTTTTCAGGTTTGTCTTAAGACTATCCTAATACCTTTTCAGTTGCCCGCCAGCACTTCGTTTACTATTCGTTAGGTGACTGTAAAGTAGCTGAATGGTAGTCTACTGTCGTCCATGCGGGTAACATGGCTAGTCCAGCGTAGTTGTTCATAGATAATGGTAGCCTCGATTCTCGTACAGTTGCCTTGAGGTGCCTCCTGTGTGTGACCCATGTCTTGCTGCCATATAGGGGAGGACCACTACTCAATATATGTGCTACTTTGTAAATAAATTCAGCTCCCTACAGCTGAAGAAGACACGGGTACATAGTCTGCCAAAGGCTTGAGATGCACATCTAATCTGATGTTGAATTTCTTCATCGATGTCCTCGGTGGTGGACAGGTGGGAGCCGAGACACTGAAAGTGGATAACATTAGAGAGAGTAGTACAGTTAAGCTGAATGGATGGTGGAGGTGTGGCTGAACCAGGGGCAGGCTGAAAGAGAATCTGAGTCTTACGTACATTTACCTCAAGGCCAAAGTGTGCACAGGCACACTTCGGTGAGTTTGTCTGCATACTGAAGTTCAGTAATGGATGCTGCCGACCCCTTTGCTCCTGCCTGGAGTTGTCTTAATTTTGAAAAGACCCTTCTTCCGGTACTGAATGTCTACCCCACCGGCTAAATTGGCATTGGCACGAGTAAGGAAGGCAGCCAAGTAAATGGAAAAGAGAGTTGGTGCCATTGCACATCTTTGTTTTACCCCCATATGAATGAGGAAGAACTCAGACTGAGTGCCATTGTGCAGGACACTGTCGATCATGCCATAGTGGAGTTGCCTCACAATGGCGATGAATTTTGGTGGGCAGCCAAAACGGCTGAGGGTCCGCCAGAAGTCTTCCCTGTTGACTGAGTTGAAGGCCTCGGGTAGGTCGATGAAGGCTATGTACAGGTCATGACGCTGTTCTCTGCACTTTTCCTGTATCTGTTGGGCAGTAAAGATCATGCCAGTGGTGCCAATTGATGGTACTCTAAACTCTAAAGCTCATTGAGTTTCTGGGAGGAAGTTTTCCGGCTCAGGGAGAAACTGTTTAGCAGGACTTGGGCGATAATCTTGCCACAGTCTGACCGGCTTTCCTTGTTCTTATAAATATTGACGATCGAGGTCAACTATTACAACCACCACATTCACTGCAACCACTACAACCACCACATTCACTACAGTTATTACAACCACCACGTTCATTTCAACTACTGAAACCACCACATTCACTACAACTATTGCAACCACAATCACTGCAACTATTACAACCACAATCACTGCAACTATTACAACCACCACAATCACTACAACTACTACCAACCACCACATTCACTACAACTACCACTCTCGGACACAAACATGAAATGGACACATTTCCCACCGTAAGTAACTCACCCTTGGATCGCTCTGACAAAGACTCACGTGTGACCTGAGGGAGGTCCAGAAGGTGGTGTTGTAGGGACTGCTGGACTATGTCTCCTGTGGGAGACTCTGCTAGCTGGGGACGTGCTGCTGGGGAGGGTAGTCTCCTTCTGGTGAAGAGCTGTCGGCTCTCTCCATATTACAATAATAATCCGAATGCGACTGTCCTTGAGAGGGAGCTGGGTCAGGGTGTGTCAACCAATGTGGGTTACCACGTGAGCATCTACTTACTGTTATATGTTGTATTTCTCTGGGCTGTAAGCTGTGGTCTAATAAACAATCATTACAACAACAACCACATTCACTACAAGTATTACAACCACCACATTCACTACAACTATTACAACCATCACATTCACTACACCCACTATAACAACTATTAAAACAACCACACTCACTACAACTATTGCCAATCACCACATTCATTACAACTACCACAACAAACACATTCACTACAAGTATTACAACCATCTCATTCACTACAACTATTACAACCACCACATTCACTACTCCTACTACAACAACCACATTTACTACAACCACAACAACAACCATCAGAACAGACTCAACGGAAACTAAACTCAATTTTTCTCAGATTCAGAAGAAACCTGAGGATAACTTCAGCAAGACTCAAGAGGAACTGTTAGCCCTCACTCCCTCCCGTGGCTACACCCAACCTGGCTGTAACTGCATCAGGTAGGTGCTGGTAGGAACATGATGTGTTAAGTAGGTGTTATTTCGAACATGTTGCGTCAGGTAGGTGTGGGTAGGAACATGTTGTGTTAAGTAGGTGCTGTTAGGAACATGTTGCGTCAGGTTGGTGTTGGTAGGAACATGATGTGTTAAGTAGGTGCTGTTAGGAACATGTTGCGTCAGATAGGTGCTGGTAGGAACATGTTGTGTTTAGTAGGTGCTGTTAGAAACATGTTGCGTCAGGTAGGTGCTGGTAGGGACATGTTGTGTTAAGTAGGTGCTGTTAGGAACATGTTGCGTCAGGTTGGTGCTGGTAGGAACATGTTGTGTTACGTAAGGGCTGTTAGGAACGTGTTGCGTCAAGTTGGTGCTGGTAGGAACATGTTGTGTTAAGTAGGTGTCGTTAGAAACATATTGCGTCAGGTTGGTGCTGGTAAGAACATGTTGTGTTAAGTAGGTGCTGTTAGGAACATGTTGCGTCAGGTTGGTGCTGGTAGGAACATGTTGTGTTACGTAAGGGCTGTTAGGAACGTGTTGCGTCAAGTTGGTGCTGGTAGGAACATGTTGTGTTAAGTAGGTGTCGTTAAGAACGGGATACGGACAAAAACCCCACCGGACAAAATCCCCACCCCTACCGGACAAAAACCCCTCTTTGATATTAGATCTTACCATTACTGTCCTCACTTTTTGAGACCTTAGGGTACCCGTTAGGTTAGGTTAGGTTAGGTTAGGTTAGGTTGCAATAAGATATATTTTCAAGGTGGTTTTGTAAGAAATTAATATAAACTCCAAATAGATTTTGTCTTATTTTTTGACCTGAGGTAAATGCTGATGCTTATATAGTTTTAGTTTATTCTTTATCATGTAAATTACATTTCATAATGTTAGCTAATAAAAACTATAAATAGATTTTGTTTTATCTTTTACTGTGAGGGGATTTTGTCCATTGTGGGTTTTGTCCAGTAGAGATGGGTTTTTGTCCATTGTGGGTTTTGTCCAGTAGAGATGGGGTTTTTGTCCGGTAGAGGTGGAGTTTTTGTCCTAGAGGTTTTTGTCCGGTGGGGATTTTGTCCTGGGGTTTTGTCCTAGGGGAATTTGTCCGGTGGGGTTTTTGTCATTGACCCGTTTGGAACATGTTTTGTCAGGTAGGTGCTGGTAGGAACATGTTGTGTTAAGTATATATATACATATATAATATATCTTAATTTAATATTTTTTTATAATTTTAATAATAATAATAATAATAATAATATTAATATTAATACACATTAATATTATTATTATTATTATTATTATTATTATTATTATTATTATTATTATTATTATTATTATTATTATTATTATTATTATTATTATTATTATTATTATTATTATTATTATTATTATTATTATACCCCCAGGACTTGATGTGGGTCATTGACCTGTGCCTTGGTGGGCTAATCACGTAAAATACAAAAAAGAGTAGGTGTTGGTAGGAACATGTTGCGTCGGGTAGGTGTTGGTAGGAACATAGTGTGTCAGGTATGTGTTGGTAGGAACATGTTGCATTAAGTATGTGTTGGTAGGAACATGTTGCGTTAAGTAGGTGTTGGTAGGAACATGCTGCGTTATGTAGGTGTTGGTAAGAACATGTTGCGTTAAGTAGGTGTTGGTAGGAACATGTTGCGTTAAGGAGGTATTGGTAGGAACATATTGTGTCAGATAGGTATTGGTAGGAACAAATTTCATCAGGCAGGTGTTGTTATTGGGGACATGTTCCGTCAGAAAGGTGTTGGTTGGAACCAATAACGTCAGAATACAACTAAACATGAATACCACCATTACCAAGCTAACCTAATTTAACCGAATCTTCATATTTATGTGTACCTCCCTTCATTTCTCCCTTCAGGTTCGGGTTCGACGTGGCCGCCCTCAGGAAGACCAGCCAGTCAGTATTGGAGAAGCCGTGGCTGTACCCGGCCTGGTTCAAGACGAAATATTCCTTCCAGGGCGAGTCAACCTGTTCACACTTCTCTACCCAACGAGGTCGACAGCGAGTGGTGTCTTTCTCCTATTATAACCCCAACTCTACTACTGATATAGGTAAAGAGAGAGAAAGAGAGAGAGAGAGAGAGAGAGAGAGAGAGAGAGAGAGAGAGAGAGCACCAGTACATAAAAATAATTAACAAACATTCACCTGGACAGACTCCACCCACTTCATGAGTTACTTGTGGCCGGTGAGAGTCCTGGCACTAAAAGTTGCTACCCTCTACCCCGGCTGGGTCATGAGGGTCTACCATAACGTGACAACTGACGACTACTATGGCAACTCGTTTCTGTGCAAAATCTACTGCAGCAATGACAATGTCGATCTCTGTCTGGTTACGGATCTACCTGGCCTTGGTAAGTGTCTGTATCTTTACGTTTGACATAAGAACATAAGAATGGAGGAAACTGCAGCGGGCCTATTGGGCCATACTGGGCAGTCCCATTTACACCCAACCCCTATTGCTCATATATCCATCCAACCTATGTTTGAAGCTATCCAGCGTATTCGAGTCAATAATGATGTTTGGTAACTTGTTTCATTCATCCACTACTCTATTTCCAAACCAATGTTTACCTCTTTTGCGCCTAAATCTAAATTTGTCTACATTAAAACCATTGTTACGAGTTCGGTCCTGGTTGGTTAGGTTAGGTTAGGTTACAGTTTTTACACTTAGCTGTTGTCGTTTCCTTGGTGTCTTTTTTCACTACCATTTTGGTCGTTCCTCTCCTCACAACCTTCCATTCACCTGAGTTTCGTCAGATACTGGCTTTCCTTGTCTCGTGTCTTCTTCCTTCATCCTCGCTATCACTTCCTTAAATTTCAAGATTTCTTCTTTGGTCCCTTCTAACTCGGCCCATGAACTAAGTCTGTCGTGACCTTTGATGACCTTTGATGACCTGATAATAACCTCATAAGATAATATTAATGGCATGATGATATATGATTGGCAGGTAACTTGGTGCAGCAGCAGGTGGTGGGAGGACTGTGGAGGCTGGCGGTGATGGGCGACCCGACAGTAGAAGTCTTCCTCAGTCGGGATTTGGACAAGTAAGATCACAGAGAACAGAGTTAATTAGGTAGGCCTATTGTTTTCCATAGTGAGATTACTAACACTAAAAAAAGAAAGAAAATAGTTATCATACCTAAAGGTTGACATCTATAAGTTGACATACCTAAAACTTGACTTGCCTAAAAATTGACATACCGAGAAGTTGTCATATCTAAAAGTTGCCATGCCTAAAAGTTGACCTACATAAAAGTTGAAAAAAAATACGATAACTAAAAGCTGCCATGTACAGTGTTGTTATATTTTTATTGCCTGAACTTATTTTGCCATATTATTGCCATATCCCTTCACCAGTTGGATCCTAAAACGTGAGGTTGCGGCAGTGGATGAGTGGATAAAGTCTGGTCGAAGCTTCCACGTGATGAGGGACCATCCCAACCATACAGCTGTTATGTTGCCTGGTAGGAGTTGTGGTTACCAGCATCAGTATAGTAGTAGTAGTAGTAGTAGTTGTTGTTGTAATAGTATGGTTGTTGCAGTAGTGTGGTGGTGGTAGTAGTTAAAGTACTCTAGTGGTAGCAGTATAGTTGTTGTAGTAGTATAGTGGTAGATTTCCAATCCCTGATATCGGACCCCTCCTCTGCCCCCAGGAAGAATCCATCAAGGTCGCTTTTATTCCAACACTAGTGAAAAACTCTTATTTAACCCCAGCAGAAAGGTCACTCCTTGCACTACCACCGAGACTGAGAGGAATGGGATTGACTAATCCAGTGGAAATCGCCGCCACCTAACATCAAAACTCGGTCAAGCTCACATCAGCCCTGACTGAGCGCATAATAACTCAGAATGCAGCAAGTCAGGTGGATACTGGAGATGTTCGGGGTACTTGGTTCTAACTACAGGAGCGAACATAAACACCTGTAGAGTTCTGTAGGTTCTTATTAACGGAAATATACAGGGGTGCGCTTACAAGCGCAGGTAGTCCTTACACTCCTATAGGGTCAACTGACCTCACTCTGACCTCTCGGACGACATGTGGTAAGTGGTATACTAGCAGCTTCCAGATGTCGCCAGGCACATTTATCGAAGCGTGTGGTGACATGAAACAGGGGCATTGCCACACGCTACTGACTAGAGAAATAATGTGTATATATAGAGTACATACATGGTATACATACAACATACAAAATAAACATACAGATACCAACGAATTAAACAAGATTGGACGGTCCATCACGACAGAACGACAGCACACCCAAAGTGATAAACTACAGCAACTGATGCTGCAAGTGCCAGAGAACTTGAAAAAGTAGCAATAGCGCAGGATGTGGGCGCCTCGAACTGGCTAACAACGCCACCGATAAGGGCAAAAGGTTTCAGTGTTAATAAACAAGAATTCGCTGATGCCATTGCTCTAAGGTACGGTAGGCCAGTAGAAGGTTTGCCCTCCCAATGCGTTTGTGGCTCTTCCTATGACATTGACCACGCCATGGTGTGCAAGAAAGGGGGCTTCGTATGGACGTCAGTGCTCGATGATTCTGGACGCGGGGACAGCGAGCCTTCTTTGACGTAAGGATTTTCGATCCCATGGCCGCATGTCACCATAACCTACTTTAGCTCTCAACGCTGCACACAAAAGGAACGAGAATGACAAGGTCGGGGCATATTGGTGGAGAATTCAGAATATTGATCAGGGCAGCTTCACTCCTCTGGTGTTCACAGTTTTTGGTGGGATGGGACCAAGTGCAAGATGTTTCTATGCCAGACTCGCAGAGGTGTTATCTGAACGGAAGCAGCAGTCCAGAAGTTACGTTGCACTTTGGTTGAGATGTCGACTGTCCTCTCTGCTTAGGTCTGTATTGCTTTGCTTCAGGGGAACGAGATTTTCGGCCCCAAAGCCGCCAGTCGACTTTGAGGCAACAGTCACTGAGTGCTGCATAGATATGCGGCTGAACTAACTCACCACAGCTAGGGTAGCTACTTTTGTATTAGGATATTTAATTTTAAGGCAATAAAATGGCGGCGTCGGTGTGGCTATTGGGGGAGGCTGGAGGCCCCCCCCAAAAAACTAGTGGTAATAGTAATTCTTGTAGTAGTAAATTGGTGGTAGTAGTATAGTAGTAGTAGTTGTTGAAATAGTATAGCAGTAGAAGCTTAAAAAAAAAGTTGTTGTTGTTATAGTAGTATAGTGGTAGTAGTAGTATAGTAGTAGTAGTTGTTGAAGTAGCATGACGAGGTAAGGGATCTCACAGCAAATATGTTGAAGGAAATCTGCCGGGATGTCATGGTAGAACCGACCCTCCTTCCATTGGATGGTGAGATCTTCCAACACAGGACTTCAAACACATCTAACGAAGCCCGTGTGGATGTCAGTGCTCGAGGATTCTGGACGCGGGGACAGCGAGCTTTCTTCGACATCAGGATTTTTTATCCCATGGCCGCACGTCACCGTAACCTAGCTCTCGATGCTGCACATAGGAGGAACGAGAACAAGAGAAGGGCATATGGGGAGAGAATTCAAAACGATGATCAAGGCAGCTTCACTCCTCTAGTGTTCACAACCTCTGGTGGGATGGGACCAAGTGCAAGATGTTTCTACGCCAGACTCGCAGAGTTGATCTCCGAACAGAAGCAGCAGCCCAGAAGTTATGTTACAGCCTGGATGAGATGTCGACTGTCTTTCTCTCTCCTTCGGTCGGCTTTGCTCTGCCTCAGGGGAACGAGAGCTTCTGCCCCAACTCCGACAACTGCTGCAGATATTGACTCTGAGGCTACTGTCACTGAATGCCGCATAGATCTGCGGCTCAACTAATTTAACACAGATAGGATAGCTACTTATGTATTAGGATATTTAATATTAAGGTAATTAAATGGTGGCGAAAGTGTGGCTATTGGGGGAGGCTGGAGACCACGTTATAAAAAAAAAAAAAAAAAGTTGTTGAAGTAGTATAGTGGTAGTAGTTGCTATTGTTGTAGTAGTATACAGTAGTGGTAGTAGTAGTTGTTGTAGTAGTATTGTGGTAGTAATAGTTGTTGAAGTAGTATAGTGGTAGTAGTAGTTGTTATAGGAGAATAGTGGTAGTAATAGTTGTAGAGTAGTAATAATAATAATGACGGTTTGTACAATGATAAATCACAGGATTTTTTGGACGCAAGGAGACAGTGAGGCAGTAGGGCGTGTCATACGGAGGCAAATTTTTTTTTTTTGAGTTTGAAAAATCGGCCCATGGTATTAATGATGTAGTTCTATGTGCAGAATCATGTGATATCTTCAGATTTGAAAAGTTTTCATTTTTTGCTAGGTAAATTTTAACTTGAAATCTTATGAAAATTCAGTATTCCCACCCTTTTACCAACACCACTAAATAGCTTAATAAAGTAAAATGTATCAGGTTAATTTATTAGGATGAAAATGATCCAGAATAGTGAACGAATGATCTTGACACATTTATTAAATTAATATTCCTTTAGAAACAAAATCATCAAATACAAAAACCGGTTTTACTACTACGACCCGGTGTTGCTGCACACCATAGAGAACATGTCTTTCTTGCTTCTGTTTCTACTCATCACCTCCCTGCTGACCACCTGAGCTCGGATGTAGCCTTCCCTCCTCTCCTGGCTGTACACGTGACTGCTGGCCTCGCTCACTTGCTGTACACAACGCTCTATACTCTAGGTGTGCGAGGGCCAGGCAGGGACATGCATGGGGTTGTCCAGGAAAGCTCTGACTTGAACATTGGTGAGGCTGCAGGTAAGAGGGGGCTCACTGCCAGCCTGGATGTTATCCAGATCTCTGAGATCAGTGAGGGTCTTGGCACCTAGATTGACTTCAGGATTCTTCCTGACCCTGAAGGAATCGTCACCAACTGATTCGTCATGCCCAGATCCTCTCATAAGTCTCATATCCAAGATCTTTTTGACTGCCACTCTTCTCTCCTCCTCATCCTTACTGCAGAGCATTGTCTGCAGAACTGCCTCGGGATGAGCATACCAGGAAGATCTCCTCACAGTCTGCTCCACAATCTGAACAACCTTCCTTGGCTGACTCCTCAGGAGCTCAAGCTGGAAGAGAACATGCCTCGGACCTTCGGAGAACGATGACTTGACCTTGGTGTTGAACCAATTTGGAAAGTAGACACTCACGATGAATTGGACAATAAGTCTCAGGTTGTGAAGCTGGTTCCCTTTCAGTTCATGATGAGTGACCCAAATTCTGCAGAACCTGAGAGCCGTTGTGAGCCACCTTGAATGTGAGACTGGACCTATCTGCAGGTAAGCAAGTCTATCAGGCATGACCCTAGTTTTGATGGCACTGCAAATCATGTAACCATAGTACTGGTCAGTACTCAGGTCGTCAATGACAGTATGTGCAAGCTCAACGAGTGGAGGGCCAACTGTGATTTTTTCAAAGCTCGGATTTATTTCTAACTCAGTGGCAGAGTCCAGCATCTTGCCAAGAGGACCAGACCATCTGTTGTTTGAAAGAGTCTTGCCATCCAGCTCCTGGATCAGATGTCTGAGTGGCAACTCGTTGGTGTGGAGGTCACAAACAATCCAGACCAGCTTCCTCCCAATCTTCCGCTCTATCCACTGTATGACCCCCCTTGCCACCCTGTGTTCGTGTTGGTGCTGTCCCCTCCAATGGCCTGCAGGGTCTGGTCTACGTTCCTCTCTCTGAGCCAGTTCACAATGTTATCTGCCACTATCTCAGCTGGTTTCCTGATGTCATCTTTCTCTGGAGTGAAATGCCACAAATACTTCCCTCCTGGTTCACTGCAGCAGGAGTAGTGTTCCTCCTTCACCATGGCAGGGAACAACTTGTCAGAATCTCCAACTTTCATGAACACTTTAGTGTCATCCCTTCTCCCATCAAAGAACAAACAATTGATTCCATTTTCTCTTATCCCCTTATCAAACTCCTTTTCTAGGTTACTGACAAGTTTCTCCTGAGCTCTCCTTACTTTGTTATGATCTATCACCAGGTGAACATCATCAGGTGTTATCACACCACCGTCAATCCAGGCAGCTGTTGCTATCTCTGCAGTTTCTCTGAGACCAGTGTGGTGTCGCATGCTGGCCAGAGCTATGCTCGGGATATCTTTCCTATTTCGAATCTTATGCCTGGAAGGTTTGGGATCATTATTTTCTGGGTTAGGGACAAAGTCACCATTCTCCTGGTCAGCACTCGGATCAGCCATGGGGAAGTCATTAAACTCTGAATCAGCTTGACTCCAATCATCGGCCTTTTTACCTCACCCTGGGCCTTCTCAAGTCTCTTTTCCTCGGCAACTCTTCTCCTCTTCTGTCTCTCTGTGGCAGCCTCCTGTCTCTTGGACTCCGGAATATCTTGGCTATAAATCATGAGAGCCCCTATACTGCCAGTCTTCTCTCTCTGTGCTTTGACAAATGCCAGTTCGATCACAGGAATCTTCAGTTCACGCTTGCAAATACAGGAGATGTGGGCCTCGGATTTACAGTCACGATCGCATCCAAACTCAGGACAGAGAACAACTGGGCACTTGCAAGTAATTATGTCAAATGAATGGTCCAGTTGCTTGGCAAAGCTGTCCTTAACTGCAAGTTTTCCTCTCCCAAGAGAGATATCTCTTGCCTTTTCCCAACTGGCTAGCAGTCTCTCACTAATCTTCTTCTGACTTGTTATGACTGGAGGCTTGAACTGAGCGTTAGCCAGAGTGTACTGTGCCAAGACAGCTTTGGTCATATCACTGGCAATGTCTTTGTTTGTGTAAGTTCTTTGGTTCTTTTCACTGATTTGCCTGATTAAAACACCGTATCTCAAAGCATCTCTCAATGTAGGCAACTCCGACTTCAGGAGCTCTCTCCCAGACCCAAGATAGTGACTGAGATGGCTGGATTTTTGGTTCCTCGTCCTGACACAAGCAGCCATCGCAAATATTATCAACTTATAAATGCATCAGAATCTGAAACAGAAAAAAATATTGTTAGTTGGGTTGTTAAAGAATGAAGTCAGAAAGCAATGTTCACTATTTAATTGTAATGCATTAATGCAGCTGTACGTTAGATTTTCGATAAATTTCACGCTAAAATTTACCTAGCAAAAGGTTGCAAAATATTGAAACTGAAATTATTTTCTGTTTATATACACTAAAATCTACCAAAAAAGTGATGGGCCATTAGTTTTAGCTGATCTTCCCTCCTATGACACACCCTAGTGAGGCAGGTAAGTATATCTCACTGTATTCGACTGCCTTCACTTCCCAAACAGCAAAAGAAGGTAGTCATTCACATCTAGGTTAACTGAGGGTGTCTTCGGCAGTAACCAGTGACCTAAGGACAAGATATGAGCATTGAATCTCCGTGAACGTCACAAGAAATTAGATTATTTTTTCTGCGATGCTGCGTTTTACTTTCTCATAGTATCAGTATTTTTGTCATTATTAGTTTCACTATTTATATTAGTATCGTTATAAGCATTAGTATTATCTTTATCATCATTATCATTATTACGTATCATTGCTAATATCATCATACATAATATTACAATAATTATTATCACCATTATTATGAATGTTATAATGGTCAGTAATATTGCATTACCCCGAGTCATCCGTTACCAGGGCTGTGGGGAGGCTACAACAGGTGGCCACACACACTGAGGAGGGTCAGGGAGGAGGTCTTCCGTCCCCCTGCTAGTGATACTCGCACCCTCGACCACTTTAGTCTGGCGACCAAAATTTGGCCATTAATTAAGGTACCTTCTGTGTTTATTGTATGTGAACTATTGGTAAGTTACACGTGTCTAAGATCTGATACTTACGATAGTCATAATAATTAGCCTGGTTACAATGTTATTGTTTTATTTATAATGTAAATGACTAATGGTTCAGATAAATGGGTCAATACAAAGGTTGCTAGTCTATTATTATGGATTATTGTATAAATCCATTATTCTATACCAAAATTACTTTTATACCGCCACAAGAGCAATATTTTAAGGTCATCAATTTACCTATCAAATATTGGGAGCTATTATTAGATAAATTATCCAGGCAAGACACAAGCTGTAATGACCTAAACAGTTACCATCTAACACAAGCTAAACTGGTTATTGTTACCTGTAGACAGTGTCACTTAAGAGTGGTTTTATGGTGGTTTGTGGTGTCGGCAGGTGTGGTGTGCTGAAAATCTTCTGGTCCTGAGCAGTTCGATCAAAATCATTATTGAAAGTTTAAGACGTGTTGGGATTACCCCTTGGAATAGAAGATTAGATCAGCTCAGGTTAGGTTAGGCTAGGTTAGGTTAGGCTAGGCGAGGCTAGGCTAGGCTAGGTTAGGTTAGGTTAGGTTAGGTTGGTTTAGGTTAGGTTAGGTTTTCATTCAACTGCTCATGCCCCGAAAATTTTCAGCTCGTTATAATCTCAACCCGTGACAACCCCCCCCCTCCCTTCCCCCCGATCATCTCATCCCTGGTAGGTGCTTGTGACTCCTTTTAGTGTCAGATGAAGTGTCACCGAGTCTAGAGCCATGTTCCTCTTCCCCCACAGCACGACGTTCTACAGCATGACAGCTACAACTGCCTCCAGCCGAGTCATAGAGGTGCGAGAGCTTTCCCTGTACAGCGGAGGAACTACTACTACTGTGGAGGTGGTCCCTTCGACGTTAAAGAACAGTATATTGTGGCCCAGACGATGTGTCCTGTTGAATGTCGGCCACCTGAAAACACGTCTTGGGTACACTGTTGATGGTACAGTCTTCTGTAAACCATGAACAAAATCCAGTCAGGCAATTCTCACGAGAAAGGAAAAATTCAGAAAAAAGTAAATCGCAGTGGATAAGTTTTTACCAGAACAGATCTCCCTTGACAGAATTCCACCTTAGGGAAGATTAGTTGGACAAATCTCGCCAAACAAATTATCATTGGACAAAAATCCTGAAATCAATAAGGCGAGGAAAGTCCTGTCTCTAATATCAACAAACAGCCCAATTACATCCTCCTCCTCCTCTGTGCTATACCATGTTAGGTTAAGTTTGTTTGTTAGGTTAAGTTGGGTTAGGTTAGCTTAGCATAGCTTAGGTGGGGTCCAAAAATCCCCACGCCGAACTTATATGCACATGTGTAAATAAGTAAAAAAAAAATCAATCTATTTTCATATACACAGATATTTTTTTTTCATTTTCAGTCAGAGGCCTAGCTAAGACCTTTAAATGTTTGTATATTCCTTTAAATTTCGCTAAATGCAACTTCCTGATTTTTTTTTCCTCTGGGGTCAGTGGGACTCCCCATTACCTGAGGTTTAGACATATTTACACCATTACCTATCTAGGGTGTTGGATTAGGTTAGGTTAAGTTGGATTATGGTAGGTTAAGTGAGAATTTGTTCTACCATTATTTTTTGTCCAGCACTAAAAAACCATGAAATATGCATGCAAATATGCACTAAAAACAGGGGAAATATGCATTTATATGCACTAAAAATGCCACTTATAAAGCCAAGAATGCAGGTTATACGGAAACAAAATAGTACAAGCCTTTCTCCTTATGATTTCCATCGTGTCCTTGAACAATTGTGAAACATAGTTCTTACGTAATGTTGATTCGTCAGGCACCTTTTTTCCAGTATACTGTTCCAGGAATGACTTTAGGCACTTGTTATTCAGTTTATGCAATGGAATATCCGCTGAAACAAATGCCTTGCACAAATCTGCGTTGAACTGGGAACGATCAGGCCCTGACTTACTGGAACATGCAAGAAGTAGTTGTTGCTCCTTTTGTGCACTATTGGACTTAACAGCTTCGAGTCAGATGTGCTTGCTTGTTTCAAGGTGTTGTTGGACTTGAAATTTCTTGCTCGCTGTCACTGGTGCTTCACAATATTTACAAAACAGTACACTTCCATCAGTAGTAAATGCATCAAATTCCTTTACATATGATCTCAGCACTTCATTTTGGTTTCTTTGTACTTTCGACATTTTCACGAGCAGCAGAAGAGAGTAGCTCCACACAGCAGCACTGCTCCTGACTGACTAACTCACTGGTCCAATGAGTCATGACCAGGTGTGGAAACGACAGATTAAAGCGACGTGACCTCACCTCACTTCACCTAACCACACCTCACCTCACCTCCCAGTACCACGTGTGCTCATTCAGTGGCAACAAAGAGATACTGCCAGATGAATATTTTACCAAAATATGCATTTATATGCAGTTATCTAGGTAATATGCACTTATCATAGAAATCACGCAAAATATGCATTTGCATATGAAATATGCAAATGCATAACTATCCGGGCCCTAGTGATGATGATCATGAAATTCTTGGTTTTGTGTTAGTTATAAAATCTGATTCAGTTTCGTACATAATTATTGTATTATTCCTGCGTCTTTATTTTTTCACCTTTCATCTGCTTATTGTACAGTTGAGGACAAAATTCCCTGAATACTTGGCAATAACTGGCATCTACTTCTGGGTCATATAATATGATTGGTTTATATCTAATAACGCTGCTTTTCATCACATACTATGGCAGAACCACAAAATGGGAAAATACTCCTTAATACAAAGAAAAAAAAATCTAAGAAAATACGTAAAAACTCCAATCCTCCTCACCTATTGATCCTCAAGTACTTACATGCCAGATACTATCAAGTGACCAAGGAAAAAAAATGATGACAGGAGAAAATGACAGGTACGTACATCCATGCACACATCCCCCCTTGCCATGAAAAAAAGATATATCCGTCAAAAATAAGAAAAAAGAAAACTCCCAAAGCACTTAGTCAATATTGTATCCAAATTTCTGCTTCCTGGTTCAAAATGTGCCTCAGATGTCGCCCGGACAAACAAAACAAGTGTAGGAGCAACCACTGAGTTACCTACCTGTCAACCTGCTTTGGTACGGCGCTTATAGCCATATAGTGGGGAAGGGAACTGTGTCAAAATGAAGTATAAAGATTGTAAAATGTAATCACAGTTCAATTTGTATTTACTAATGCCTTGTGTTGTAATTACTGATGATAATTAATGTTGACAATTCTCGTGGAATAAACATAGTATTATTGGGTAACTTAAATAGAGCTACAACATTTGATAAAGTCTACCATACCGATATTGTTGCTGTTGTTCATCACTTTATTTCTTTATCATTCTGGCTATTTTTTTTCCGTTCCAGCTAAATATTTCTGGATCTGAGATCACCCAGATAGCGTCAAGGTAGTTGCTACGTGATGTAAATACCTATACCCATCATCCACACCATGGCTAGTTACCCCCTATCCACACTATTGCTAACTAGCTCCCATCCACACCATGGCTAGCTGGCTTCCCCAACCACACCATGACTAGCTACCCCAACTATCCATACCATGACTAGCTACCCCCACCTTCCACACCATAGTTTTATTACCCCAAATATCTCATACCTGTGCTTCTCACCTGTGTCATCTCATTAACTCACAGACTATTAGTTAAGGTTTCTTCAGGTGTAAAGTGGTCATATACCTGCAATAAAGGAATGAATAGATCTTTATAATTATTTACTTGTGAGTGAAATGAAGACTTGATGAGCGTTTAAACTAGGAACAAGTGGGAGAAAGAACGCAAACAAACACACACACACACACACACCACCCTGTGTCCCCATGAGCACTTGTGGTCCTTCATATCAACACCCGAGGACGAGTTACTGCACCACGTGAACACCACACCACCTTGTGTCCCCATGACCACGTGAGGTCCTTCATATCAACACCCGAGGACGAGTTACTGCACCACGTGAACACCACACCACCTTGTGTCCCCATGACCACGTGAGGTCCTTCATATCAACACCCGAGGACGAATTACTGCACCACGTGATCACCACACCACCCGGTGTCCCCATGACCACGTGAGGTCCTTCATATCAACACACGAGGACGAGTTACTGCACCACGTGAACACCACACCACCTGGTGTCCCCATGACCACGTGAGGTCCTTCATATCAACACCCGAGGACGAGTTACTGCACCACGTGAACACCACACCACCTGGTGTCCCCATGACCACGTGAGGTTCTTCATATCAACACCCGAGGACGAGTTACTGCACCACGTGAACACCACACCACCTGGTGTCTCCATGACCAGTCCAGGCCCGGGACTTCAACTGTAAACTATAATAATTTGTATGTTCAATTCATGTTACTTCTTATTTCAGTAATGAAAGCGTTTGTTAAACGACCCACCCACCCCATGTCTTTGTATGTAATATGTCATTTTTTCCAATGTATATTTTCAACCTTCGGGCTGCCGACTTTTTCAATAAACCGTTAATTATTATTATTATTTATTATTTTTGCACACACAAAAAACAAAACAAAACTAATTTCTTCCATTCTTTTGCTACGTTTCGCATATGAAACACTATAATATAATTTCTTTTCGACCTGGTAAACTTTATCCAAATATAGATGAATGTTTCTGAAATTATGAATGTCAAAATGTATAGTACGTGAGTTTACATTATTGTTTACATCTGTGCACATAAGTTTGTATAAATTTATATTTTTGAGTATGAGTTTATATACGTAATAAGACATCTTTCAATTTTTCTTCGTGCTTAAAGCCTTAAATAGTCAATGTTACTTCTAGTTTAGTTTCACATTGTTTTCTAAGTTGTTAATGTCTAATTCCATTTTCTCTCGAGCGTTTATCAAGAATATTTCCAAGAGAATTATAGTCTACAAAAGCAACGTATTATACAACTTTGTCCTTGCATCATTTCGCCTTCAGTAAGCTGCTTCAGTTTCTAGTGACGCAAGTAAACCCCCTCCCCCCTCCCTCCCTTCCCTCTCCCTCTCCTCGTGCAACCGCCCCACACCTGTAATGTCAACAAGGGGTCCCATGAACAGGTGTGTACTGGTCTGACGGGGTATATACAGTATATATACAACAGTTGTGAAGCAAACTCCCGCACAACAGCGACCATGACGTCCACACACCTTATGAGTGTTCTCCTACTGGTGTCCCTAACGGTGGCCCTGATGGCGTCCCAAAAGGATCAGTCTACCACCACCTCAGAACTTCCCTTTATTGGTCAGTACATGCACCTTCTACCTGTGGCTTCTGGATGCTAAACTCCTTCGCTTCTCAAGTTTAATAATGACCTTTATGTTTCTTCCTGTTAGTGTTAAGACGAACATTTAATAGACTATAGCCACTAACCCCTTCACTATTGGGACGCCAAATGATTTTATTCAGCTCAGATGGGACCGCTTACACAAGGGGTTAAGGTGGAAATCTGTTGACGTCTAAGAATACCACAAACAACTAAAAAAAACCTTATATGAGTCAAATATCACTATGAGTTGTGACCAAGACAGTTATAGAAGATGGGACGTGTGGCTGTAAACTGGTCCACATATATTAATGATCTTACCTGTCATACATCACAGTCCTCACCTACCTGTATAAACCCCTGATCTATCTCATACATTAGGCAACATTAGGTTCAGTACTGAGATTAATTTCTCGTTTTGATTTTCTTAACAACAATATGTGGAAAAGTAAATAAAAGCAACTTGCGTCTATTTTCTCAACTTTTGTATCTATAATGATCAAATCTTTTGTAAATTAGTAGTAGTAGGGCCAGCGCGGCGTGGGTGTGGTGGAATGTCCTCCCTGATCTAAAGTATTATTGGAGGGGACATATTCGGAGTGTGGGAGCGGGAATTTCACAGTGTGTAGGTGAATATCGGATGTCACCCTAAGCATTGTCACCGAAGGTTCTTCTCATCCCTTACGGCATTAATCGCAAATATTCCGTGTGTTCACCAGCGATCACCAAGCGAGTTGAGAGTATATGGTGGGACGGCTAGAGCAGGTGCCAGGTGCCAGTGTCGATAGGCCTACTTTGGCCAAGTGTTCTATGCTTGCGGTCGCCTCCTCAAGTAACGGTCGTTTCATTTAGTGACGGCCGACTAAGTGAGTATATATAACTAATATTACATCAGTGCGACAATAGAAATAGTAGTTATTTCTGCCAAAGATATATAAACAAGTGTTAGGTGTGACAATTCTTGCTCCCAGTGTATCATTCTGATGTGTGGATTGTCGCCCACAGGGGGGTGGCCTATACATCCACGCGCGCACTACCCGGACACAGCTGTCCAGTAGGGTGTGTCAATTTAGGGGGTGAACTGGCTAAATTGAAAATCGAGTAATTTGGTAGCAATTTATTGTAGTCTTTAAGCATGCAAAACAATATTCTGGCATAAATTTTTTTTTATAATAAGTCCTACCTACATCAAATGGATTTTTAAATGTACATATTTGTGAATTTATAACATAACCAGCGTTTGCACACATGTTACTGTTTCAAGTTTCAAATTATTATATTTTATTATCCGTAGTCTATTTGAAAGTAACCAATGCCTTCATACTCTCTTTGCTTTGGTTTCTTGTCATCAGTAGTCTGCTTGCTATTTGTGCTTTGATGTAACCTTCTCGCCTCTCGTGGCTGTAAACATGGCCCGCTGCTTCTGTGACCATTTTCACACATCTCTCCACACTTTGAGTGTGGGAAGGCCACTTCGGCACCTGCATTGGAGTCTCTTTAAGGTTTCTCAATTCTTGGCTAGTTAGACTTGTTGTCAATGGTGGCTCTAAGACTTCCAAACTCAAGTCAACCAATTCTGACAATTTGGTGGCATTGACGTTTATTGGGGGAACTTTTCTTGAATGAAACGAACAGTCTCCCAACTGGTCGTCATCTATTAGCGTTCCTCTAATCTTTAGAATGACTTCTACAGCCTCGGTTCGGAGATTGGTACATTGACTGCAAAGCATTGCTTGCAAAACTGCTTCTGATCGAGCATACCAAGCGGACCTTCTTGCCACAGGTAACACGATGTCCCTCACTACCTTCCTCTGTGTTCTTACTAGCTGCAATTGAAACAAAAGGTGATTGGGCCCATCCACCCACATAGGATTAAGTTTCACACTAAACCACTGGGGAAGATAAACTCCAATAATAAATTCAACAATTAACCTCAAATTCTTCAGCACTTTGCCCTTCAATTCGTGTTTGGAAATCCAAATCCTGCAGAAACGAAGAGCTGTAGTTAACCAACGGCTGTGACTGACAGGTCCAATCTCCAAGAGAGCCAATGACTGAGGCACTTCTCCTGATCTTAATGCTTGGGCAATACGATAAGCATAGGATTGATCTGTGCTGAGATCTTTGATGACTCCTTCAGACAACGCCGGAAGGGGAGGGCCAACTGCGACCTTTGGAAAGGTTGTATTTATTTCTAGTTGTGTTGCTTCATCCAGCATGATGCCAAGGGGACCTGACCACTTGTTGTTGCTCTTTGTAGGATCATCAAGTTCCTGGATGAGATGACGAAGAGGTAGCTCGCCTGTATGTAAATCACATACAATCCAAACAAGTCTTCTTCCTAGTTTTTTCTCTAAATGCGTCATTACACCCCCCTGCCATCCGGTGTTCACTGCAGTTGAATCTCCACCAACAGCCTGCAGTGAACTGCCAAGTCCTCTCTCCTGAACCCAACATAAAATATGATCAGCAATGACCTCTGCATGTTTCTTCCCTTCTACTTCAGTTTCGGGAGCAAAGTGAAACAAAAACCGACCACCAGGCTCAGAACAGACAGAGTAGTGTTCTTCTTTGATGAGACCTGGAAACTTTCTGTTCACTCCCTCTACTTCTAGCAAAACTTTTGTGTCATCTATTCTTCCATCAAACAAAAGACAGGAGAGCCCTCCCTCGCTTAAATCTTTTTCATGCTGATCAGATATTTCCTTCATTATTTTTTCTTGTGCTCTTCTAATTTTATTATGATCTATCACCAAAGATACATCCTCTCGGCTGATGAGGCCTGCATCTATCCAAGCGGCAGTTGCAATTTCTGCAGCCTCACGAAGTCCAGCATGGTGGCGAATACTAGCTAAAGCAATGTTTGAAATATTTCTTGTGTTGTATTTCATTTTCTTTGGTAAAGGTTCAGATGGCTCTTTGGAACTATCATCTGATGTTGCTTCCTGTTCATCAGAAGAACTATCAAAGAAGTGATAAACATCTTGACACAGCTCTTCCTCTCTTTGGATGGCTTCTTCACTCTTCATTTTCTTCTTTTGTTCCCTCTCTCGGATTTGTTCTCTCTTCTTGGCATTAGCAATCTGCTTCTTTGTTTCTGAATAATCTATTGAACCCATTTGCATACTTCCTTGGCCTTCTGCCTTTGTCCTCTGTGCCTTTATAAATTCAAGCTCTAAAACAGGGATCTTCTTTTCACGAGGACAACCACAATCAATGTGGGAATTATTTTCTCTCTTACCTGAGTGAGAACAGTTGGATTCAGAACATAATTGTATGGAGCACTTGCAGGTCAAAATGTCAAACAGAGTATCAAGTGTGTGCAGAAATTCATTTTTCCTGGCCAAGTTTCCTTTACCAAGTGATGTTTCAACTGCTTTGTGCCATAATTTCGTTAGTTTTAGCTCAATAGTTCGACACTGATTAATCACAGGTGGTTTGAATAGTGCATTAGCTTTTGTCCATTGATGCAGAAGAGGGACTATCATGTCATTTATGAGTTCTTTATCTGTATAGTTCCTTCTGTCCTTTGCATTTTTTTCTCGAAGGAGTAACCCTAATCTTAGCATGTCTCTCACTGTTGGAAGTTCTGATACAGGAAGCTCCTTCCCTTTACCAACTAGCAGGCTCAAGTGGGTTGACAACTGACTTCTTGTCTTCAATTTTGACATCTTCACACTATCTGACAAATAGAAAAATATTTCAATGTTTCATAATTCAATTGTTGTTTCAAAAAATATCAATTTGTTTATCAAAAATGCTGTAACAGAAATAACATAATAATTTCTTAGAACATAATGTTTTATACAATGATATAAGTAACTGCGACAATCAATATGCCCTACTTACAATAATTAAAATGTAGAATTCGTCTGGTAGAGTAGGTGCAAGTGCAATGAGAGCAAACCACCGTCTATGATATCTAGAAGGAGAGTGAGCCGGGCGCCTTATCCTCACGCTTGGTACAAGTCAAAACAAGAATTAAACTGTCCCACACGGAGAGCCTGTTCATGTTCATGTTCTGACATGCATATTGTACACAAGCTATAGAACCATAAAATACTCCATAATCCATATGCTTACATGAGATTAGTTAATATCAAGTGAATAATTCTAATCAAGTCTCATTAATTTGTTGAAATACTGATATTTGAAACTTTAAGGTATAATTGATGTAGGTGAGGGTTATTTCAATTCATTTTTGTTTGCTAATCTCAAGTTTAGACATAAAGAGGCACAATATTTTGACTACCAAATTTGATTTTTAACATGTTGACAAAATTGACACACCCTACCAGCCTGTCACCTCTCCGCCCTTTGCTCATAAGAACTAGTTTCTTTTTATGTATGGGTCCAAAGCAGATGTCGGAGGCGGACGTAACTGTCGCCCAAGGTGCGGAACACTATGCCGGGTAACAGACATTGTTGCGTTTGTGCTAGCCAGAACCAAAATTGCACTATCTCTGATTGTACGAGAAACAACCGACCATGTGTGGTTTGCAGAAAGGGAAACAATTGTCGGAACCCACATGGCAGGGAGCCGACACAGGAGGCCACAGTGGATATTGCTGGGACCCAACCACGCGATGATATCCTAAATGATAGCAGTGAGTCTACTCAACCTGAAAATGTAGTACTAATAAACGCTGCTCCAATAGTAGCAGATGTCCACGAGGTGAATGAGAGACAGCCACCTCAGTGGAATGGCATGTCAATGGAAAATGCGGATATATGGGTTAAAGAAACTTCCTCAGAAATTGTCAGGTGGTCGCCAGTTAACCTGTTTGAACCACCCAAGTGTGCGGCCACCAAAGAAATGATTCGGGAGATGATTCGCCTCATAACTGAGTACACTCAGGACTGCTTTCTTGCCCCTTTAGCTCTTCAAATACTGGCAATAATACCACATCTATTCGGTCAGAGGGCATACACAAAGACAAAGCACAAAGAAAATGCGGCGGCAATGAAGAGAAGATTGACAATGTGGCAGAATGGGGCCCTTGATGATCACCTATGTGAAGCAAGAACACTGCGGGAGAGACTAAAATTTATAGGAGACGGTAAGCAAAACACCAATGACGTTGCAAGAAAGTTTGCAAAACAAAATGGGTGTGGGAAAAGTGTCTTTGGCGGTAAGATCTCTCACAGGGGAACCCTCCGGTGGGGTTCTGCCAATAAACAGAGACATTAAAACAACTGAAAGAAAAACATCCCCCTGCAAGTGAAGACGAAGGCATCAGGTTCCAGGGTGACTATATCCCACCAAATTCTGTCCTGTTCGAGAAAATAACAGGAGGGATGGTGTGGAAAAAGGCACTGAAGACTCAGGGAGGTGCCGGCCCTTCGTGGCCGTAATGCAAACGGTTGGAGAGTCATCCTCAGTACAAGTAGTTTGGCCCAGTAGCAAGTAATCTCTGCACTGCCATTGCCGTCCTTGCAAGAAAGCTGGCATCCTCGTGCTGCCAACACCTCCATGCTCTGATGGCCTGCCGCCTCATTCCCCTGGATAAGAATCCAGGATGTAGACCTATAGGGGTGGGGGAAGTGCTGAGGCGGATCATCGGAAAGTGCATAATGGAGGTGGTAAAGGACGATGTCAGGGCAGCAGCAGGGAACCTACAAGTGTGTGCTGGCCACCAGGCTGGTGGGGAGGCGGCCATTCACGCCATGAGATTGATATTTGAGCAGCGTGATTGTGAGGCCGTTCTCCTGGTGGATGCTTCAAACGCATTCAACATACTTAACCGCAAGGCTGCACTGCACAACATCAAGATCAAGTGTCCTAGCTTTGCGATGTATGTTGAAAATTCGTATAGGAATCCTTCTGACATCTACATAGTAAACAACAAGGCTCTACGAGATGATACCATCCTACAGTCGACCGAGGGAACAACACAGGGGGACCCCGTTGCAATGGCAATGTATGCAATAGGCCTATCAGTGCTCCAACAAGAAATAAAGTATGAAACAACTGGGGTCAAACAAGTGGCATATGCTGATGACCTCACAGGAGCAGGAAAAGTGGAGGACATCAAAAACTGGTGGGACCTGGTAACATCGCGAGGTCCACAAATAGGGTACCACCCTAACTCCTTTAGTGTTCACAACCTCTGGTGGGATGGGACCAGGTGCAAGATGTTTCTACGCCAGACTCGCGGAGGTGCTATCCGAACAGAAGCAGCAGCCCAGAAGTTATGTTACAGCCTGGATGAGATGTCGACTGTCCTCTCTCCTTAGGTCGGCTTTGCTCTGCCTCAGGGGAACGAGAGCATCGGCCCCAAAGCCGACAACAGTTGCAGATATTGACTATGAGGCAACAGTCACTGAATGCCGCCTAGATCTGCGGTTCAGCTAACTCAACACAGCTAGGATAGCTACTTATGTATTAGGATATTTAATTTTAAGGTAATAAAATGGCGGCGAAAGAATGGCTGTAAGGGGAGGATGGAGGCCACGTAGTAGTACTGTCACTATTATATTCTCATCCTTATTCGTATTTCTATCATTTATTATTATTATTATTATTATTATTATTTTTATTATTATTATTATTATTATTATTATTATTATTATTATTATTATTATTATTATTATTATTATTATTATTATTATTATTATTATTATTATTATTATTACTATTTTTACTATCATCATCATCATTTAGTTGAGCCTCGGGTGAAGTGCAACAATTGGTGCAGGTGTGGGCAGAAGATGAAGGCGAGGATTGTAGGCGGGCAGGAGGCGGCCGTGGGTGCGTGGGCATGGCAGGCGGCGCTGCTGTTAAATGGAAGACTGTTTTGTGGTGGTTCTCTCATCAACGACAGATACATCCTCACTGCCGCTCACTGTGTCACTGTAAGTCACTTTGTACTGTCGTCACTTTGTAAGTCACGACACTTGTAAGTTGTCTGTGTCCCTAACTAAACTGTTTTATCTATCTGTCTGTTTTGTCTTTCAATCTATTCTATCTTTCAATCTGTTCTATCTACCTGTCTGTTGTATCTACCTGTTTTGTCTGTGTTCTGTCTGTATGATATATCTATCTATCTGGTCTATCTATCTGTCTTATCTATCTGTCTGTTTAGTCTGTCTGTTCTGTCTGTTCTATCTGTGTATGATTTGTCTATCTATCTGTTCTATACATCTGTCTGTTCTGTCTGTTTTGTCTACCTGTCTGTTATAACCGTATGTGCTCTATAATTTGGCCTATGACTGCAGTAAATAGTTAACTTACAATAATGTCTCAGGGACGTACAGCGAGTGACGTGACGATCCACCTGAGTGAACACAGCCTTAATACCTCTGGAGAAACACCTCTGGTTGTCAGGAATGTGTCCACCATCATCATCCACGGCCAGTACAGCTCCTCCACCATGATAAATGACATCGCTCTTCTCAAACTGTCTACCCCCTTACAGGTGAGTCTATCTCTTATGCAGGTCTTGAAGGATTACCTGCATAGAGTTATCTGGGAAATGTTCGTTTGTCTTGACTTTGTTGTTGATACATGCAGGTGAACGCGACAGTGATGCCCGTGTGTTTGCCGCCTCGTAGACGTAAGTACTCCTGGAAGAATGCCACAGTGACGGGTTGGGGGACCACCAGCTACGGCGGCTCCATCTCTGATGTCTTAAGAGAGGTTAATGTTACGGTAAGTCGGCAATGGTACTAAACCTTACTATAGCAGTCTGGCTTTATCCACAGTCCCCATTACTATATCAGTCTGCCATTATACAACCTTCATCGGCGGATAACAAACTTCTTTACATAGACAATAGATTGTCAGATAATTGATAGATTCAGAGACTTATCCACCTCACACTTGCAAATGCAGGTGCTGTCCAACAAAGCATGTCGGTATCTGTCCTACAGGAGTGCCATCATGCAGGAAATGATGTGTGCTGGGACCAAAGGCAAGGACGCCTGTCAAGGCGACTCTGGGGGCCACTCGTGCTTACTGACCGGAGAGGCAACTATGATCAGGTAAATCTCTCTCTCTCTCTCTAGTTCTACCCACATAGGAGACATCGTTAGTGTAGACAACTTTCACAGCATAAGTTACCAAGACAACCACAAAAGCTTACCGTGTAGACCTCATCGCAGTAGATTAAATTATTAAGTTTAGTGCTAATCTTCTTGTATGATATGGACACAAAGTAGTACCTTAAGCTGTGTATCCTTATATTACTCTTATTAATTATGTATAGTAAGTATTACAGAACATGTATTAATTCGATGTAATATTCCCATTTATTGTGCACCATATTATGTATATAAATTATCATATTTATACTTTATGTATTCAGCTTGTGAATGCTGGCATCTGTACATGCATCGCACAGTAATACATAGAGACAGTGAAGAGAGTCAGTCCTTGTGGTGCGGAAGTGAGCTTCTTGGTCCCCTTGTATATATCTCCCGTACGAGAATAGAACCTACTTTTAAGAGAACAAGTGTTTGTGTATACCTTCAGTAGTATAGAACATTTTGGAGGTATCAAGACGAACGTCAGATGGCGCAGTGATTATTTCTCAGTGAGATACAGTGGACCAAGCCTTCCCGCCCGGACTCTGTTAATGGCGTCTCGTCTTCAGCTTCACGATCTGCAGCAAGACTACTACAAGCCTCTAGACTTACAGTGTTGTGAAGTGCTATGCTGTGTACAGTGCTGTGCTGTGCTGTGAAGTGAAGTGTTTTGTGAAGTGCTGTGTTGTGTATTTTAATCATAATTGTCTGTGCAAGTTGCGGTCAGATGACTAAGGGAGCGGCCCGACAGTACGTGCTCTCCCGTCTCTGGTCTGAGGGTGACTGAGGAACCAGCGCTCGATGCTGCCCAGCCGCTCTTATGTCTGGCAGCGCGCCAAGCCTCCCTTCCCACCAGGCACACACACACACACACGCATTCACCTTATATTAAATTCTTGTGACTTACTTTTGACTTCTGTAATTCTGTGCATAGATTACGAGGGGCTGACCCGGTCTTTTGCACAGATAGAGTACAGAAGCTGTCGGCATGCCTCACAGGGATCAAAATGATACCCTGGACGATGGGGTTACGACTTTTAGTCTGGGAGACCTCTCCCCACCCACACTCAGGCCCCACGCTCCCCACACTGACAACGCCAAGTCACCCACAGAATCTCCTTGTTCATCGCGAGCAAGCTCTCCTGCGATGCATACGTCCACAGATTTCCTTCAACTGATTAAGTGGATGGAAACTTCTCGACGCCAGGACGATATTGCAAGGAGAAATTCGGAAGAAATTCGGTACAAAGAGTCTGAAAGACGACGCCACAAAGAGGAACAAACACGCAGAGAACTCGAAGACATACGTAGAAATGAGGATGAATTTAGAAGAAGAGAGGATCAAGCCAGATTTGAAGTCTTGATTTCTCTGTTAGCCTCCCCACAACGATCTACCATACAAGATTCGTCTGCTACTACTAAAGTTGATGCGACTAGAGGTACTGGTACCTCATTTCCCAGAGTCGAATCAACAATCCTTCAAAAGGCTGCAGTACACACGCCTCCCTCTCTGATGTCTGACGCTTCTTATCAGATGTTTCGGGAATGGCGTCGACGTTGGCAAGACAATGCAACAATGGTTGACTTGTCAAGTTTACCACAGCCGAAACAGATGATACAGCTTCGTATGTGCTTGTCCTTAGAGACACAACGTACTCTCGAGCACACACTTCAAGTGCCTCCTACGACAACTCTGACGGTAGAGGCCGTGCTCGACAAGTTACAGGAACACGTTAAGGGACAGTGCAACGAAGCACTCAGAAGAAGAGAACTCCTCCAATGTAAGCAGCTTGATGGAGAATCTTTTGACGCATTTTTTGTAAGACTCAAGAGATGTTCAGAGGAAGTTGATGTTTGTCCCTGACATTCTCAAGTCTGTGAAGAGACACAACTCAAGACAATCATTTTAACGCGTGTCCGAGATGAAGAGCTAGTTCAGCGTCTCATTTCCCTTGACCCCACTTCCTCCCTTCAAGATGTGGTTACAATATGTCGAGCGTACGAGGCCGCCAGGTGTGCGACTTCAGCTTTACGCTCACAACCTGACCAGGTGAGGGCAGTGTCTTCCTACAGAAAGGGTAAGAAGCAGCAAGGTAACCCCACCCCTCACCCTCCAGCTGCACCTTCAGCAGCAGCTTTGTGTAACAGCTGTGCGAGACAGCATAATGCCTCCCAGTGCCCAGCTGCTCAAAGCGTGTGCAGAAGTTGCGACCGCCAGGGTCACTGGGCTTACACAGTCAAGTGCCCTGCGAGCAAAGTTCAGTGCAGACTTTGTGGTCGTGTGGGCCATTATGACAAATGTTGTCGTAAGAAGACACGGAAACGACACCACCTAGGATCCAAGACGTCATCCTCAGGTAGTGCTGGTGCGCCCCCTCCTTCTGGCAAGCATCAAGACGCTGTGTCCAGTCGTTCCTGCCGTCATGTACATAGTTCCACAGACACGACGCCCCAGCACATCAATGTCGTCATTTCTCATGGTAACTTGTCATCCAGTCTTCAGATGTTACCTGACACCGGTGCTGATGTCTCAGTAATTGGTCCACAACACTTAGCATGTTTGGAAATACCCCGGAGCAACCTACAGCCCTCTTCTCAGACAACGAAACTGACAGCTGATGGTTCCAAGATGGCTCCAGCTTTGGGATCTTTCTGGGCTACTCTTACCTTTGGTGAGCAGTCTTGCTCAGCCCGGATTGATGTTCATGATGGTATCCCGACTCCGCTCTTATCATATGGCCATTGTCAAGAGTTGGCCATTATTTCCAAGGAATTCCCCAAACCTATTTTAAAGGTCACCCATGTCAACAGGTTGAAGGAACTCCCTATCTCTACTAACACGTCCCCTTCTGATGCAAGAGCTTACCTTCTCAAGGAGTTTGCTGACGTGTTGGTTACGAAGAAATCTTTGGGATCCACACCACTCAAGCCGATGGTGGGTCCACCTATGAAGATTTATCTTAAGGATGGTGCCACACCTTTTGCCATCCACACCCCTCGTTTGATTCCTCATGCCTACAAGGAGCTAGTTAGAGAAGAACTTGACTCCATGGTTGCTCAGGGAATCATCAAGCCGGCCGGAGACGAACCTTCACCCTGGTGCCAGCCTCTCGTCCCCGTCGCCAAACCTCGTGGTGGAGTACGAATCACCACCGATCTGTGAAAACTTAACCAGCAAGTTTCCCGTCCAGCCCACCCTTCACCCACACCCTTCGCAGCTGTTCGAAATGTGGACCCGAAAGCGACGTTTTTTACAACGATGGACGCCTTATGTGGTTATTGGCAGATCGAGTTGGCCGAAGAAGACCAACACTTGACTACATTCATCACACCATATAGGAGATACCAGTATTGCAGAGGCCCCATGGGATTTGTCGCTACGGGCGATGCATTCTGTCAACGTGGTGACGCGGCCCTTCAAGGAGTCACGAATTGTGTCAAAGTGGTTTTGATGATATTTTACTCCATGACGAAGACTACTGTGCCCACCTCTCCCGAATATATGAAGTTCTCACCAGATGTCGCAAGTACGGGATTACCCTTAACGCTGACAAGTTTGTAGTCGCCGCTCCATCAGTGAACTTCTGTGGGTACACTCTTTCAGCATCAGGCATCGCAGCTGACCCGGAGAAAGTAAGTGGAATCAGGGATTTTCCAACCCCTGCCAACCTGACAGACCTCCGTTCTTTTTTGGGTCTGGTCAATCAGCTGGCTGAATTTACACCTGACATCTCCGCCGCAGCCCAGCCGTTACACCCCCTGCTGAACCCCAGGAGGACATTCCTGTGGACCCCAGATCATCAAGAGGCCTTCCAGCGAGTCAAGCAGGCCCTCTTAAGTCCACCTGTCCTCGCCTGTTACGACCCAGCCCTACCCACCGTCCTCCAGACTGACGCCTCCAGACTCTACGGCGTTGGTTACGCCCTTCTGCAGGACCATGGCGGTGGACAACTCCGCTTAATTCAGTGTGGATCCCGGTTCCTGACCGACGCTGAGACCCGATATGCCACGATTGAGCTGGAGATGTTGGCTGTTGTCTGGGCGATGGCGAAGTGCCGCTTCTACCTGATAGGACTTCAGCACTTCACCCTCTTCACGGATCATCGCCCTCTTATACCTATAATCAATCACTACTCCTTAGATGCAGTAGAGAATCCTCGCCTTCAACGTCTGAAAGAGAAGCTCTTGCCTTATCTCTTCACGGCTGTGTGGCGTGCGGGTAAGCTGTTGTGCATCATGGATGCCCTTTCCCGCGCCCCTGTCAGTCGCCCTACACCAGAGGACGAGATGTTGTGTTCTACAGCTGCTGCATCCCTCAAGTCAGTAGTTTCATTGAAGGCCGTCTTCACATCAAAAGAGTCTATAGCACCGGATGCAGACAAGACCCTTGAAGATCTCCGCACAGCAGCCCGGGCCGACCCTTCCTACATCCGGCTCATCGACTGTGTGTCTCAGGGATTTCCATCTAACCGATACGACCTTCATGAATCGCTACTCCCGTACTGGAAGATACGCGAGGACCTCTATTGTGACGGAGACCTCGTCTTGTATGGTCCACGAGTAGTTATTCCTGCTGCCCTACGCAGCCGTACCTTGACCCGCCTTCACGACAGCCATCGAGGAGTGGAGGCCACCAAGCAATGGGCGAAGCAGACTATATTTTGGCCCGGAATCGACGTGGACATTACAAGTACCGTCCGTGCCTGTGAACCATGCCAGATTCTGCAACCTAGCTAGCAAGAGGAACCTTTAATGTGCGACGGTAACCCTTCAAGACCCTTCGAGTCTGTGTCGGCCGATTTCTTTGCAGTTGCAGGGAAGTCCTTCCTCGTCATTGCCGACCGATTGTCTGGATGGCCTGTTGTCGTCCCCTGTGGTAATGATACAACTGCTACTGCTACCATGCGGAATTTCAGGCATTACTTCAGAGAAGTTGGTGTTCCCCTTCGCCTCAGGACTGATGGAGGACCCCAGTTCACCAGCCACGAGTTCCGGGACTTCATGGACAGTTGGGGAGTCCGTCATGTCGTGACCTCGCCCCACTACCCCCAGGCGAATGGACACGCTGAAGCCGCAGTTAAGACTGTGAAACACCTGATCCTTAAGGTGTTACCCTCAGGAAATATCGACTGCGAGGACTTCGATCGAGGTTTGTTGGAGTTACGCAACACCCGGAATTTCACCGGACGCTCCCCTGCCCAGGTTCTATATGGACATCATCTCAGGTCTTGTGTTCCTGCCCACCCGAAATATTTTTCTCAAGAATGGCAGACCAAGACTGAGGAATGTGACCGCCGTGCAGCAGAACGAGCCGCAGATGTCGCTGCTCGGTATGACTGTTGAGTATCGGCCAGCAGGTCAGGATTCAAGATCCGGTATCTCACCGCTGGGACAAGGTTGGGGTTGTCATGGGTATTGGCCGGTCCAGGGACTACCAAGTGCATCTTCTTAGTGGTAGAATATGGTGGAGGAACCGTCATTTCCTCCGACCTGTGGAGCTGCCTAGTGTTGACCCTTCCCCAGTTGAGTCCCGTAATGTTGATGTCTTTAAAGTAAATCCATCCCCACCTTGTGTTTCTGCCCCAGTACTCCGCAGGTCCGAGCGACTCAGAAACAAAAGGTCCGCTCAAGATGAAACTATGAGCGTATAGGAGGGAGGGAGGTGTATGATATGGACACAAAGTAGTACCTTAAGCTGTGTATCCTTATATTACTCTTATATTACTCTTATTAATTATGTATAGTAAGTATTACAGAACATGTATTAATTCTATGTAATATTCCCATTTATTGTGCACCATATTATGTATATAAATTATCATATTTATACTTTATGTATTCAGCTTGTGAATGCTGGCATCTGTACATGCAGCGCCCAGTAATACATAGAGACAGTGAAGACAGTCAGTCCTTGTGGTGCGGAAGTGAGCTTCTTGGTCCCCTTGTATATATCTCCCGTACGAGAATAGAACCTACTTTTAAGAGAACAAGTGTTTGTGTATACCTTCAGTAGTATAGAACATTTTGGAGGTATCAAGACGAACGTCAGACTTCTAACCCATTCTTAAGTTATTTTAAGAACATTGCGACATAGGCAAACAGGAACGAAAATAATACCCTACTTGTTTTCTCACTGCTGAAAGTACATTAAGTCAATAAGTCATTCTTACCTCCTTGTTTTATGTTTTAGATCGGTGTGGTGAGCTGGGGATATGGCTGTGGGTATGCTTCCTTCCCTGGCGTGTATACCAGGGTCAACTCTTACCTCCGCTGGATTAAAGACCATACCCGCGATGCCGTCTACTGCAAGGCTTGAGAACTTCTACTGCCGGGAGCCCTCACTCCCACACCCGCCAACATATAACAAAGAATCGTAACTCAAGTGAAACTAACAATTATAAAAGACTGTCCAATTATAGAGGAAATACTTAGCCTATTTAAACAATCAGCAATGTAAATAAGTCTCTCTGTATTGACAACTTGGAGGATTAACAACAACGAGGCTGGATCTTTGACTTAAATAAATAAATAAACAAACATTCCATCGACTTTCTGCAACTTGAAGAACATATGTATTACCTTCAACAAAACTCTGGATCATCCTCACTCCTTCATCAACATCTTAGGAACATCACCAACTTATCAACATGTCAAGGAACATCAATGAAGGTAGACTGGGGTCAGGTCAAAGGTTAATTAGACTAAAATGACCAGGTAGGAGTCAAAGGGTATTGTAGTAGTGGTGGTGATTGATTGTGGTAGTGGTGGTGATGGTGCTTGTGACGGTAGAATTCTAGAAATATGTTACACTGGCAGAAAAACAAAAGAAGTACTAGAATTGAAAAAAAAAATCTAGAGAAATACTTGAAATTTAGAGAATAAGGTAAATTTGATACTTTAACCCTATAAGAATTGATGAATGGATAATTGCATAAATTTTAATGGACAAAATTGAGTGTAGAAGGGCCAAGGGTAAAGAAGAAATTGATTAGACTGAATGAATAAAATTAGTAAGTGGGTCCCCAGAAAATTAAAAAAAACTGAGAGGATTGGTAAACCCAGCCCACAGATGTTAAGAGAAGAGGACTGTGGTAGCCAATCCTCAGACTTGATTATTGTACTTTGATAGATTGGTTGTTTGATTCATTGATTGATTGATAAAAGTGGAATGGCAGGAACTTGTCTAAATCGAACATGTAACATCATTATAAAATTGTTCTTGATGTTAATAGTAAGTGGGTGAAATTCTAAGTTTATTGAGTGTTTCTTTCTTTATACAGTAAGTTGCCTGAACAACACCTCCAATTAGCTGTTATATAGTTAACTCTGTTGAGGAAATCTATCACACACACACACACACACACACACACACACACACACTACTGTGGTAGCTGTTTTTGGGTATCAAACACAATTGTTTTAAATAAGTTCTGGAACTCTTAAATTGGCAGGGCTTGATGTAACCGCTTCTTCTGGGCTTTCATTTATTGTTTAAGCGTCTATATATACAGTCCTGAGTTTAGGAGAGAATGCTGTTACACTAGTACTACTTCTTTTTTCAAATTGGCCTTCAGCCTCCCCCCAATACCCACACCTTCGCCACCATTTTATTTCCTTAAAATAAAATATCCTAAAAAATTAGTAGCTACCCTAGAGGCGTTGAGTTAGTTGAGCTGCAGATCTATGCGGCATTCAGTGACTGTTGCCTCATAGTCAATATCTGCGACTGTTGTCGGCTTTGGGGCCGATGCTGAACTTGTTTCCCTAAGGCAGAGCAATGCAGACCTTAGCAAAGAGAAGGACATTCGACATCTCAACCAGGCTGTAACGTAACTTCTGGGCTGCTGCTTCAATTCAGATAACACCTCCACTAGTCTGACATGGAAGCATCTTGCACTTGGTCCCACCCCACCAGAGGTTGTGAACACCAGAGGAGTGAGGCTGCCCTGACCAACATTCTGAATTCTCTCCCCATATGCCCTAATTTTGTCGTTCTCTTTCCTCCTGTGTGCAGCATCCAGAGTTAGGTTACAGTGACATACGGCTGTAATGGGCCCCTGTCTCATCAACAGAACATATTATATAAATGGGTCAATACATCTGATATTATATTCAGATTCACCCCCTGTAACTTTCCACTGTCTATGAGTAAGACATGAGTTGTACACGTGAGAGGGCAACTCTTCCAAGAGGGAAGAAGCCCATACTCAGCATCCTATGTAAGCCCACACTGCGAGGCCCTCAGTCACTCACAGCAACTTATATCGTAAGGACGTGATCTAACGTTTATATTACATAAACGCCGTCCCTTTCTCATTCACTCATATACAGTATAGTGGAACTTACGGTCGATCTACACTCAGGAATTATAGATACAATCCTTTTATAATAAAACAAGGAACTACAGTTTGGGTTTCGTTACTTAAACCCAAATTATAAATATATGTGAATGGCCTGGTTAATTGGACAACCCAGCCGATTCACGGCCATGGGATAAAAAATCCTTATCTTGAAGAGGGATTGCTGTCTCCGCGTCCAGAATCCTCGAGCACTGACGTCCAAATGGTTTTCGTTGGATGTGTTTGAAGTCCTGTGTTGGAAAATCTCACCGTCCAGTAGAAGAAGGGTCGGTTCTACCCTGACATCATGACAGATTTCCTTCAACATATTCGCTGTTAGATTCCTTACTTCATCGTGCCTCATGCACACGAAACCACTTTTCTTGCACACCATGGCGCGATCGTTGTCATAGGAAGAGCCACACACGCACTGGCAGGGCAAACCTTCTACTGGCCTACCGTACCTTAGAGCAATGGCATCTACCACTACCACTACTTCTACTTTGCTGTCACTCGGAATCGAGTATGATGATCATCCAGTTATGATACAATGATATGAGTTACCAGGGTTGTCACCTTCGTTGTGAGTTTTGAGGTGACTAAAGAGGTCGATATGATGTGGAGTAATCGTCTCCCAGGTGAGGGATGTCTTTTTGGCGCTTTTCAGGTTTGTCTTAAGACTATCCTTATACCTTTTTAGTTGCCCGCTGGCATAACATTTACTATTCGTTAGGTGAATGTAAAGTAGCTGCTTCGGCAGTCAACTATCGTCAATACGGGTAAAATGGCCAGTCCAGCATGGTTGTCCATGGGTAATGGTAGCCTCGATGCTCCCACAGTTGGTGTCAGCAAAAATACTGGTATTTGTTCTCTTGTCTTACCAGCGAACTCAGAGGAGAGAACCTAGACAACGTTGGTGAAAGTTTTCAGATGCATTGAGGTGCCTCCTGTACGTGACTCATCTCTAGCTGTCATATAGCAAGGTGGGGAGGACCACTGCTCGATGTACGTGCAATTTTGCAGATAATTTCAGCTCCCTACAGCTGAAGACACTGTTTCGAAGTTTGTTAAAGGCTTGGGATGCACATCTGATCCGATGCTGAATCTCTTCATCGATGTCCGCGATGGACAGGTGGGAGCCGAGATACCTAAAGTGGGTAACATTAGAGAAGGTAGTACCGTTAAGCTGGATGGATGGTGGAGGTGTGGCTTAACTAAGGGTAGGCTGAAAGAGAATCTGAGTCTTACGTTCATTCACCTCAAGGCTGAAGTTTGCATATGCATCTGCGTAGGTGTTCAGGATCTCCTGTAGGTCGCGTTCAGTGTGAGCAACAAGGGTGAGGTCGTCTGTATACTGAAGTTCAGTAATGGAAACTGCCGACACCTTTGTTTCTGCCTGGAGTCGTCTTAAGTTGAAAAGACCCTTCTTCCTCTACTCAATGTCCTCCCCGCCGGCTAAATTTGCACTGGCACGAGTAAGGAAGGCAACCAAGAAAATGGAAGAGTTGGCGCCAGTACACATCCTTTTTTATCCCCGTTTGTATGGGAAAGAACTCAGACTGGGTGCCATTGTCCAGGATACACACACACACACACACCACGACGCTTCTCCTTTACATAAAGAAGGCAACTTATAAATGAAAGAACATAAGAATGGAGGAAATTGCAGCGGGCCTAGTGGCTCATACTGGGCAGTCCCAACCCCTATTGGTCATATATCCATCCAACCTATGTTTTGAAGCTTTCCAGCGTATTCGAGTCAATGATGATATTTGGTAACTTGTTCCACTCGTCCACTACTCTATTTCCAAACCAATGTTGACCTATTTCCCGCCGAAATCTAAATTTGTCTAATTTAAAACCATTGTTACGAGTTCGCTCCTGGTTGGATAGTTTGAGTACTTTTGTTATGTCCCCTTTGCTTAGCCTTAACATCCATTTATATACCTCTATCATATCGCCCCTCACTCTACGTCTCTCGAGGGAGTGCAAATTAAGATGCTGTAACCTGTCTCTGTACTCAAGTTTCCTAATGCCCGGGATTAGTCTTGTCATTCTCCTCTGAACTCTTTTGAAGGATTCTATGTCTATTCTGTGATACGGTGACCCAAGTAAGGTCCCACAAGCGCAAGATATAGTTTTAGGATGAACCCGCTAGTCTTGTAACTAAAATTCCTTTGTATGAACCCAAGTACTTTATTCGCCTTGTTTCGAGGAAATACACATTGGTATACACTTGGTGGTGGTGGTAGTACACTTGGTACACAGCTGGTGGTAGTAGAAGTGGTGATGGTAATGGTGGTGGTAGTAGTAATGATGTTCGTCGTGGTAGTGATGGTAATCGAGGTAGTAGTAATGGTGGTGGTAATAGTAATGGTGGTATAGTGGTGGCAGTGCACAACAGGAGTAAGTAACACAGCCGCTTGTGTTAATGTTATCATGGTCAGTACAGCCACACTGTCCTCCTTCAATCTCACCTCGCACTCTCACCTCACACACACCGCTCCTCACCTTTCACTACACCCCTCTCACTCCACACTCGCCCTCACCGCCCCTCACCTCTCACCACCACACTCTCTCACACCGCCACTGCCCTCTCACCTCACTCTCCCCCCTCCCACCTACACCACCTCTCACCTCTCACACTACCACACTCCACCTCTCACCTCTCACTATACCGCCCCTCTCACCTCGCCTCACTCCCTCTACCTCCTCTCACCACATACCCCTCTCCCCTCACCCCTCTCACCTCTCACTACACCCTCACCTCCTCACTACTCCACACCCTCTCACCTCTCTCACCTACCTCCACCCCTCTGCACTACACCCCTCTCACCCTCACACTACACCCTCTCACTCACCTCTCACCTAAACCCCTCTCACCCCCTCTCTCTCACACACCCTCTCCCTCTCTCCCTCTCACCTCTCACTACTCCCCTCCTCACCTCTCCACACCCCTCTCCCCTCACACTACCGCCCTCTCACTACACCGCCCTCTCCCTCTCAACCGCCCTCTCCCCCTCTCACCTCACCGCCCCTCCACCTCTCACTGCCCTAACCTCTCACTACACCGCCCCTCTCACCTCTCACTACACCGCCCCTTTCACCTCTCACTACACCGCCCCTCATTTTGTTGTAAACTATTTTCATTTTATCTTATTTTTCACTGCACCAGTACAGAGGTAACGCGCGTATCTCTCCTCCCCCTCCTCCTTTGTCCTCTTCCTCCATCTCCTCCGTCCTCCTCCTGCTCCTCCCTCCATCTCCTCCGCCCTCCTCCTGCTCTTCCCTCCATCTGCCGCTGCTCCTCTTCCTTCTTCTACTCCTTCGCCGTCCTCCTCCTTCTCCTCCATCCTCCTCCTGCTCCTCACTTTTTCTGCTCCTCCCTCCTGCTCCTCGTCCTTTTTCTCTGTCATCCTCCTCCTCCTCCTGCTCTTTCTTCAAAATACTCCAACTGGCAACACCTCCATCAGAAGAACAGTCATAACCTTCAAATCGCTGGGGTCGTGGTGTTGCCTGGTTGACGACATGAGAGGGTCACTTGCACTGACTCCCTCAATGTAGCAGCAGTCAAGCCGGAGGTAACACGGTCTCTTGCGGCCACCACCACCACCTTCTGCTGTACTAGAGGTGTGTGTGTGTCCTGGACCCTTGGTAGACGATTGCAAGTACGTATTGTGTCCAGACTTCTGGGTGACAGGTGACAGGTGAGAAGTTTCGGAGTTTGTTCGTTGTGGTAATGAGTGTCACTATGGTGTGTGGATATTGTGGGTGTGAGGATTGATGTTGATATTCTGACTAGCTGCGATGATAAAGGAAGTATGATAACAATAACCTTTGTAGTTATGGTCACACTGAGGTGCTAGTATGTGGAGTAGTATTGGTGGCCATGGTGCCTTGATTAATGGTGTATAGAACAGTATGGTACCAATGTGGTATGATCATGGTGAACTTAACAGTATGGTGCCATAATGTTGTATGATCATGGTGGACATAACAGTATGGTGCCATAATGCTGTATGATCATGGTGAACATAATATAGTCTTAAGACAAACCTCAAAAAGGGCCAAATCGACCCCCTGACCTGGGAGACGATCACTCCACACCGTAACACTTGGAGGAGCACCACACGCGAAGGTGTCAATACTTTCGAGTTAGCTCGACTGCAAACAGAGGCAGATAAGCGGCAGCGCCGGAAAGACGCTGTTGCTCTCCCCGGCACTAGATGTAGCCCTCCACATGTGCAACATCTGTGAACAACTCTGCCGGTTCCGTATCGGCCTCTTTAGTCACCTCAGAACTCACCAACGAAGGTGACATCCTAATTACTCATATCATAGTATCATAACTGGATGATCGTCATACTCGATTCCGAGTAACAGCAAAGTAGAAGTAGTAGTAGTAGCAGCAGCATGATGGCACTGTGTGTGGAGATGGTGCCATGATGGGAGTGTTATGTGGTCAGTGTTTTATGGTTATGGTAGGATAGTATATACTGTGCATTGTATTTATGTCAACATGGTAGTAGTTGTCAGAGAGTGTTATCTTGTCATGGAAGCAGTGTAGTATGATCATGGTAGGTATGGTTAATTACAAGACTCTTCCTTCATCACAACAGACATGACAGGTGAGAAGATTCATCCGCTCTTTCGCTTCCTCCTCCTGATGATAACATCATCAATGGTGGGGACTGCCTTCACCACTGCTCCACCACTACCACCATCATCACCATCACCATCAGCATCACCACAACCACACATCATACTCATTGTGGCTGATGATCTTGGTAGGTATCTGACTATACCATGACTAAGTACTCGGGTTTTTTTCTAAAGTCCTTGAATACGTAAACCCATCAACAGCAGAGGTTAAAATCATCGTACTCAAGGGACTTAATCATCGTACTCTAGGTAAAGACTCCTAGTACTCATAGTCTTAAAATTATTGTACTCAAGGGGTTAATGATCTGTTTTGTGTGAACTGGTCCTTTAACCGTTGATTCTTGCTGGGTTAATGGGGCTGGAACATGTAAAAGTATATAGGGTTTGAGTAGCCAAACCCAAATGTCCTTTCTGTATTTATTGAGAAAATATATTATATACAGTTCCAAGAGCATATCACCGTAACTTAATCACTGTAGCTATGAGTGTTAGCATGAGGACGGAGGCTCTATTAAATAGCTCTTCGAAATACGTCCTCCTTGTGCGAGAGAGTAAGGAAGAATGCCTGTATACCCGTCGAGGGAGAACGGTAATATACGTCCTCCCTCGAGGGAAGACAGAACCATCCACGATGGCTCTCAATAACGTCTTCCTCTCGTCAAGGATATCAAACTACTGCCGCAAGAGGTGGCCAGAGAGCCGGCTACTTAATGCCTTAGCTCAGCACTAAGTGACATGACTTCCCGTGGGCACACCTCATCACGTGCTCTGAACATGCTACCTTATAGTTAGTGCAAAGTTACAGAGGGTGATAGAGTATATAAATCATATGTAATTAACCCATTTATATAAATACTTCTGCCTATAAAACAGGGGCTATTACATGTGTTTGTTGCATTATCGACTGTCTGGATGGTGACCTGTCCCGATCTTGACCTGCCCTGTAGCTTGGCCTGTCCTGTAGCTTGGCTTCCTTAAGTTTGACATGCCATGCATCTTGATTTACCCTGACTTGACCTTCCCTGATATTGAATTGCCATGAGTTTGGCCTGCCCTGATCCTAACCTGGTCTCCTGCAGGATGGAACGACGTGTCGTGGCACAACAGCCAGGTGGTGACGCCTCACATGGAAGCTTTAGCGAGAAGCGGCGTCTTGCTGGAGCAGTCGTACGTCCAGCCGATCTGTACACCCACAAGGTCTGCTCTCCTGACCGGCCGCTACCCCTTCACCCTTGGTAGACAGGTGGGTCAGAGTCACTGCCTCTTCACCCTCGGTAGACAGAGAATCGTTTGTTCTGTTATCCCTTACGTGACGAACATTAACGTGGTGTGTTCAGAATCTTCCAGCTGAGAGACGGAAACTAACCTGACCTTTTGAAGAAGTCATTAATTCACAGCTGACCTCATAACCTTTGACCCTATGATGATTTAACCCCTTCACTACGGGGACGCCACTTTTAATATTTAATTAGTTAACGCCAGACTATTTTATTTACTGAACGCTCAGAGGGGATCCCGTACACAAGGGGTTAATAGACTATCTCCACCAATACAGAATTTGAAGACAATGCAACAAAGATCTGAAAATATAGAAAGTTAATCAGTGCACCCATCAAGGAATTACAACGGGGAGGATGCTGGGCTCACCTAGAATCATCTTAAGAAATACGATAAAAATGAATTGTTGGTAAGACTTTACTTGACATTCCTTCTGATAGCTACGTTGTGCCTAACGCTGGTATGATCCTCAAAATGTAACCTGGAAGTTAGAAGACAATGCTTGGTGTTCAGTCGCTGGAGAAGTGTTGGGTGAACTGACAAGTGTAATAATGTAGTTTATGTCGCAGTGCAGAGACTACTCTTGTGTTTCTCTGCTTAAACACCTTAGCTGATGAAACACTTGAATACAATATAACAACAACATTATTCTGAAGGATGAACACAGTGCCATGTGCGAAAAATCTCTGATAACGTAGTAACTATTCCTTCCGTAGAACGGTGTCCTCTGGCCAATGGAGCCGACGGGACTAGACCTCAACGCCACACTCCTGCCACAGTCCCTGAAGGATGCTGGCTACTCCACTCACGTCGTTGGCAAGTGAGCCTACCCTCTATCATAGTGTTGTAATACTTAGTTCCCTTAGGCTGCCACTTGGCAAAAACTGTTCCTTGTACTGTCCCATGAACAATATTCCTTCGTACAACAAAACCCAAGACCTTTAAAAATTACAAGGTTTTGGGGAACCTGTGGTATATTAATGAGAACTGAAGCCAGACTTTGGACTCCAGGTGGCATCTTGGCTACTGTTCGTGGGCGTACACCCCGACCGAGCGAGGGTTTGACACCTTCTTTGGCTACTACACCGGCGCCGAGCACTACTACAGCCACGTCCGCCCTCCCGTTCGCCACCGCTCCAATGACTTCTGGACATCCGCAGCTGCTGACGGTGAGCAGACAGTGTACTGTATTGAAACTAATGTAAGGTTATGGCATTAGCTACTAACTCATGTTGATATTAGTACCTGGAAATCTGCTCATAATAATGTAAGATCTATAATGATTAATAATATGAAAGGGGGTAAGACAATTGGAGACATAAAGGTAGAAAAACTGACTATGTGGTGTTCTTCAGAGAGTGTTAAAATTGGCTACGACTTCAGGAACAACACCCAGCCAGACCTGGACGCCTCCGGCACCTATTCCACGGTAAAACTTTCCTCACAGACTAAAGACAACTTGAACCCTTGAACCCTTAATGACACACATGTCATTACTCCTGAGGCCCATGGTCAACATTCTCCCTAATATTTATATTATTTTTCTTATGTCTTGCCCCGTTCAGATGTTCAGAAAATTTATTTTCAGTTAAGGACAAGTTTTTCGCCGTAAATAATCAGAATTAATGGACAATTCTTAAAAAGTGTTTGGTATGATTGATGGTCAAGTGGCGAAGGTGGAGAACAATAACTGGGGGAAAACTTATGTAAGCTAGCAAGCTCTGAATGCATACAGCGTTAACTTAACCTAACTAACTTGAACCGAACCCCTGGCGCTGTTGTATACACTCACTCTCCTTGTCGTTAATGTAATACTATCTCCTCTCCCCCAGTACCTCTTCGCGTCCTACATTGAGGAGTTACTGGAGTCCAGGGATCCTCAAGACCCTATGTTCCTCTACCTACCCTTCCAGAGCGTCCACTCCCCAAATGAGGTTCCAGATAACTACACTAAACCGTACAACCACATTCATCACAGGGATCGCAGGATAAAACTTGGTGAGAATGGAAGAAATTATTAGTGATCGGGTCTTAGTGGTGATGTTATATATAATTGATGATAATAATTTAACAGATAAACCAAACTACCAAATCTTCCTTTCATGATAAAGAAATTTAGACTATTGGGTAATAATTTACATCTCTTGTGCACGTTCATGTTCAGATATTTATGAACGGGATTCTCAATTTGACAGATTTTGAGGTAGTCCGATTGAATCTATTGTTGGGATGTTAATAGAATCAATGTGTTGTTAGAATCACTTGTTGATACTGGACGGTCTGTGAGTCACGGCATTAGATTACTGTATTATATGACATGAATCAAACTAATCAAACCTAGCCTTAGAGCGTGTCTTCACTTGAGCATTTTAACGCGAACGAACCAAACGAGCAGACGACGCACGAACCGAACGAGTAGTTCGAGTTCAAGCTCTCTGTATTCTGCTTGTTCGACGGTGCTCGTCTTATTCCCACCGTTTTCCCTAGTTGAACCATGGATCTCACAGTGGCAGCAGGTGCATTCTTCATTATTTACTCCTTAGCCAAAAGAAAGAAGAAATCTAGGAGAGTGTGGTTAAGGCGACTATTTTATGGACGAAAAAATATGTCCCTGTTGAGTGAAATGGATCATGGCCATTTGAAAAATTTACGCGAATGACACCAGAGGACTTTGAAACATTAAGTTACCTTCTAGGACCAAGAATTATAAAGAAGGATACAACATTCTGAAGAGCCATACCGGTCAAAAATCGTTTGGCTGAAACTTTACTCTTTCTAGCTGCAGTCATACACCAGCCTGCAGTATAAATTTAAGATATTCAAGCAACGCATAAGTGTGATAATCGCAGAAACATGGAACGCTTTGATTGAAGCCCTGAAGGATTACATAAAGGTAATACAAAAACATTAATGTTGTAGTAAAAGCCATGTTGGGGATTCCACAGCTCAGGATGCCTCTCATATTCATCCAGTAAGGTTAAACATTTCTCCCTGTCCCACTCCATAACACACCGAATAGCTGGAACAGCGGGAACACCCGTCCTGACTGCGTACCAACGAGTAACTGAATCCTTTTGGGCACGCACCATCTACCGACAAGCAACGGAAAACATTTGTCGCGCTCGATTCGGCTCGGCGCGTTCTGCTCGTTTGATTCGTACAAGCTAAAATGCTCAAGTAAAGACGCACCCTTACGACCTTAGGTTGGTTAAATTACGTTAGGTTAGGTTAGATTATGTTAAGTTAGCTTAGGTTAGGTTAGTTCAATTAAGTTACGTTAGTTCAGTCAGGTTAGGTTAGGATAGATTAGCTTAGGTTAGGCTCATATTTTCCTGTAAAACCTAACGCGTGTATAAACTTTTACACTGGATTCATTGAAAACTTCCCCAAATTTACCATCTGTGAGAGTTTTATTATTGTTTATGTGTGGGTGAGGCAGGTATGGTGACGGCCATGGACGAAGCTGTGGGCAGGGTGGTGAAGGCACTCAAGGCTACACGTCACTACAACAACTCTATCATCGTCTTCACTACTGACGTGTGTATTAAGTCTGTCTTCAATATATGGTAATTGTATCGTAAGGTTGTTGATAAACTCTCTTAAGTGACGTCATGCCTGAATATACACTATGTACAGGATTTAATTGATAATTTATTGTTGAATTACAGAAATGGCATTTTTGTTTCGTGTGTGTGTGTGTGTGTGTGTGTGCACAGGGTGGTATAATGCATATAGTGTGGCAGCATTATGTTTGTGTAAAGGTGCAGGCACTCCTTGCTTCATCTCGCTTTCAGCTACCACCGCTGGCTAGCCCTTGTGGCGAACAGGGAAGCAACCTTGCGTAAGTCTTCCCCTGCCAGTACACAACTTCTTCACCATCATGACTCCTGCTGTGCCTCTTCGTGGCAACACACGGTAACTGGATGCCTCGTGTGCCCAGGATAGACCAGCAGGGGATCTCTGAGTAGCAATGGTCTTTAGAGGGATGGCGCATAGGCCCACCACTGCTCCCCTGTCTTGTGGTAGGTATAAGGCTACGGGAGTAAACCCCGAACGAAAAATCTGCAGTGGAGCCCCGCATCAGGCAGACATGCTTACAGAGCTCTAGTAAGACCCCAACGGCAGTATAGGCAGAGGAGGTGATCAACATGGGAAGTCAACGGCTAGACCGGCAGATGAAGGCAGTGCAAGATGGACAGGCTACTAAGGCGAAACCCAACAAACTGGGCTATTGGTAATCCAGTCCAACTCTCCCTCTCCATAGTCATTGCAACTTCCAGCACCACTGGATCAGGAAAATGGAGAGTCAAGATGTGTGGTTTCAGCTTGCGCTTTTGCGGAAAACTTCCTCCCAGAATCTCAATGTGGCTTTAGACCATCACTTGGCACCACTGACATGATCTTTGCTGCCTGCCAGATACAGGATAAGTGCAGAAAACAGTGAATGTGACCTGTACATAGCCTTCATCGACCTTACCAAGGCCTTCGACTCGGTTAACAGGGAAGCCCTCTGGTGGACCCTCACCGTTTTGGCTGCCCACCAAAATTCATCGCCATTGTGAGGCAACTCCACGATGGCATGAACGGCAGTGTCCTGCACAGTGGCACCCAATCTGACTTCTTCCCCATCCATATGGGGGTAAAATATGGATGTATACTGGCACCAACTCTCTCTACTATTTTCTTGGCTGCCTTCCTTACTCGTGCCAGTGCCTTGAGGTGAATGTACGTAAGACTCAGATTCTCTTTCAACCTTCCCCTGGTTCAACCATTCCTCCACCACCCATTCAGCTTGATGGTACTACCCTGCCTAATGTTACTCTAATGTTACTCTAATGTGTCTCAAGCCTTTGGCAGGCTCTGTACCTGTGTCTTCAGCTGTAGGGAACTGAAATTATCTACAGAGTTGTACGTATATCAAGCAATGGTCCTTCCCACAATGCGATATAGCACTTGAAACCTTTCACCAACGTAGTCTACGTTCGCTGGGAAGACAAGAGAACAAATGCTAGTATTCTCGCTGACACCAACTGTAGGAAAATCGAGGCTACCATTATCCATGAACAGCTAAGTTGGACTGGCAATGTTACCCGCATGGGCGACAGTAGACTACCAAAGCAGCTACTTTACAGTCATCTAACGAATTGTAAACGTAGTAGACGACAGCTATCAAACAGGGAGATACTACCGCCTGGGAAGATATTGGAAGCGTAATGTGTTGTCTAATGGTAGACCCTGCTGCCATATGACATCAAAAAAATTGTGACCAAGTCCCATGTTGCTGATCTGACTTTCTGCCTCATTTACACACAATTGCAGGGTTTCAATTGTTTCTCTTACTATTGACAGCACAACATACATACTGTCGTTTCTCACTCTTGACTTATTTATTTTTCATTTTTGTATTTATTTATTATTATTATTATTATTATTATTATTATTATTATTATTATTATTATTATTATTATTATTTTTTTTTTTTTATTAATTATTATTAGTATTACTACAGGGGGGTATTATTATTATAATTTGTATTTATTTTATTAATTATTATTATCATTATTATTATATTTTCGACCTCAGGCCCTGATGTGGGTCGGTGACCTGTGCCTGGTGAACTAATCCCCGAAAAAAAAAGCCGGGGCAACGGAAAGGCTATAAGGATAGTCTTAAGAAAAACCTGAAACATTGCCAAATCGACCCCCTCACCTGGGAGACGATTACTCCACATCGTAACTCTTGGAAGAGCACCACACAAGAAGGTGTCAATACTTTCGAGTTAGCCCGATTGCATACCGAGACAGACGAGCGCCAACGCCTGAAAGGTTCTGCAACCGCCCCTCCCGCACTAGATATAGCCCTCCACACGTGCAACATCTGTGGACGACCCTGCCGGTCCTGTATCGCCCTCTCGAGTCACCTCAGAGCTCACCAACGAAGGTGACATCCTTAATAACTCATATCATTGTATCATAGCTGGATGATCGTCATACTCGATTCCGAGTGACAGCAAAGTAGTTGTAGTAGTAGTATTGTGTGTGTGTTTGTGTGTGTGTGTGTGTGTGTGTGTTAAACTTCCCTTATCAAAATAAAATAAACAACGATATTTAATGTTCCATCTCTTTATTTCTATCTTACTTTTGTTCTGCCGGGAAAATATCTTTACCTTTGCTGAAACTGATCTTGCTCTTAAAGGTTATAGAAGCAGCGGAGAGAGGGGCGTCCATTGCTAAAATTAGAGTCAGTGAGAGACAGTGTCACTACAGTATTAGAGTGAGAAAAAGTTGTGTTTCTCAGAATGGTGGACCAACAGTGACCTCGGGCAACAACTGGCCGCTGAGAGGGAACAAATCAACACTCTGGGAGGGCGGCACCAGGGGCGCTGCCTTCGTCCACTCCCCCCTCCTCCCTAACCCAGGCACAGTCTCTCACCAGTCAGTATAACCACCACTTACCGTCTCTCACCTCTCAGTATCACTACTACTTACTGCCTCTCACCAGTCATTATAACCACCACTTACTGTCTCTCACCTCTCAGTATCACTACCACTTACTGTCTCTCACCAGTCAGTACAACCACCACTTACTGTCTCTCACCTCTCAGTATCACTACCACTTACCGTCTCTCACCTCTCAGTACCACTACCACTTACTGCCTCTCTCCAGTCAATATCACCACCACTTACTGCCTCTCATCTCTCAGTATCACCACCACTTACTGTCTTTCACCTCTCAGTATCACCACCACTTACTGTCTTTCACCTCTCAGTATCACCACCACTTACTGTCTTTTACCTCTCAGTATCACCACCACTTACTGTCTTTCACCTCTCAGTATCACCACCACTTACTGTCTTTTACCTCTCAGTATCACCACCGCTTACTGTCTTTCACCTCTCAGTATCACCACCACTTAGTGTCTTTCACCTCTCAGTATCACCACCACTTAGTGTCTTTCACCTCTCAGTATCACCACCACTTACTGTCTTTCACCTCTCAGTCACCACCACTTACTGTCTTTCACCTCTCAGTATCACCACTGTCTTTCACCTGTCTTTCACCTCTCAGTATCACCACCACTTACTGTCTTTCACCTCTCAGTCACCACCACTTACTGTCTTTTACCTCTCAGTATCACCACCACTTAGTGTCTTTCACTCTCAGTATCACCACCACTTAATGTCTTTAGTATCACCACCACTTACTGTCTTTCACCTCTCAGTACCACCACTTACTGTCTTTCACCTCTCAGTATCACCACCACTTACTGTCTTTCACCTCTCAGTATCACCACCACTTACTGTCTCTCACCTCTCCAGTATCACCGTAAACTTACTGTCCCTCACCTCTCAGTATCGCCACCACTGTCTTTCACCTCAGTATCACCACCTTACTGTCTTTCACCTCTCAGTATCACCACCACTTACTGTCTTTCACCTCTCAGTATCACCACCACTTACTGTCTTTCACCTCTCAGTATCACCACCACTTACTGTCTCTCACCTCTCAGTATCACCGTAAACTTACCGTCCTCACCTCTCAGTATCACCGTAAACTTACGTCCCTCACCTCTCAGTATCACCACCACTTACTGTCTCTCACCTCTCAGTACCACTACCACCTGCCTCTCACCAGTCAATATCACCACCACTTACTGCCTCTCATCTCTCAGTATCACCACCACTTACTGTCTTTCACCTCTCAGTATCACCACCACTGTACCTCTCCAGTATCTGTCTTTCACCTCTCAGTATCACCACGTACCTCTCACCCCACTGTCACCTCTCAGTATCTTACTGTCCCTCACCTCTCAGTGACACCACCACTTACTGTCCCTCACCTCTCAGTATCGCCTCCACTTACCGTCCCTCACCTCTCAGTATCATCCTCATCTCAGTATTACCACCACTTACCGTCCCTCACCTCTCAGTATTACCACTTACCGTCCCTCACCTCTCAGTATCACCATAATGTCCCTCACCTCTCAGTATCGCCTCCACTTACCGTCCCTACCTCTCAGCATCACCACCACTTACCGTCCCTCCCCTCTCAGTATCGCCTCCACTTACCGTCCCTCACCTCTCAGTATCACCACCACTTACCGTCCCTCACCTCTCAGTATCACCACCACTTACTGTCCCTCACCTCCCAGTATTACCACCACTTACCGTCCCTCACCTCTCAGTATCACCACCACTTACTGTCCCTCACCTCTCAGTATCGCCTCCACTTACCGTCCCTCACCTCTCAGTATCACCACACTTACCGTCCTTCACCTCTCAGTATCGCCTCCACTTACCGTCCCTCACCTTTCAGTATCACCACCAAACAAATCGTACATCAAGACTATTATAACAGCCATTGCTATAATACATACCATACGTCCCAGGGGTCAACTTTTGTCCACTGTCCTAAAAGTCTTTACCTTATGAAAACTCACATCCTGGGTCACGTAAGTTGTGTCTAACATTACGTGATTTGTGTTAGTAGGTTGGTACACGTAACGGACTGGTACAAGACGTTGGTGGGCGTGGCTGGGGGTGTTGTTCCCGAGGACACTGACGGTGTAGACCAATGGGCGGCCATCACAGGCTCCTCTCCCTCACCCAGAACAAACATGATCTACAACATCGACAACACCACACACTTCGTGGCTGGGCTCAGGTGTGTTGGTGTATGTGTCATCCAATATCCTTTTAAATAATACCTGAAGGGTTAGGTTAGCATACGAGCATCCTATTCAGGGTTGTGGGGAGGTTAAGGGTCTGTTGGTGACGTTGAGTTTATTAAATGTTGCCTCTTTTGCCGTCAGAATTGGTGACTACAAGCTGCTGGTGGGAAACCCTGGACCTGGGGAATGGACACCACCCCCAGAGTTCACCTCCACTACCCACAACCCCCGCACGGCTAGTACCTACAACTCCCAGAATGCTAGTACTCACAATCCCCACATGGCTTGTACCCACAGCCCCCACACGGCTAGTACCCACAAACCCCACACGGCTAGTACCCACAAACCCCACACGGCTAGTACCCCCAAACCCTACACGGCTAGTACCCACAACCCCCATACGGCTAGTACCTACAACTCCCAGACTGCTAGTACCCACAACCCCCACACGGTTAGTACCCACAACCCCCACACCACCAAACACATCAGCTCTCATCAAGGTTTATCAACAGACCGCCCACCTGTAGTATCATCCACTTCACTGCCACAGGTGATACAGTCTGGCTCTAGTCGTTCAGATACACGACCCTACAACGTCAGACAGCCTGAATATTCCCAGTCAGGTGAAAGTTCAGGTAGCGTTGGCTCCAAGGATACCGACATTATCCCCCCTCTTCCAGACGAGTCTCTCCCTCATAGCTCTGGCCATGGTAGGGAAGCCAACTCCATAATGTTTCTATACAAAACTGCTGTTACTGAAAACATCGACTTGCCAAAAAGTTTCCTACACGTGAGGAAGAGTAATAGCGGAGGTCCATATGTGGTGGAGGTTGACATGACAAAACCTGACTCAGGGTATAAGGAATCCACTCATAGAGACGAGGAAACTGTTTCAGAGAAGGAAAACATCAGCTCCAAAATTTCGAACTATACAGATGAAGACGAAAAAACCAATGGTACCTCAGAAGCGTATGGTTCCGGCCAGAGTGAAGGAGAGAGGAGGCAGATGACGACCCAGCAGCTGCTACACCTCCTCAACACCGACATGCAACAGATCAGACTCTACAACATCACAGGTACTTGTTACTTGACACTCATGACTCGCTAATAACAAGATTTTTTACACTTTCCTTGAAGTCATCACACACAAATTCACGAACAGCATACTTATCGCAGTGTGCCCCAAGACAAATGATAAAAGTTAGACAAACAATGATTCGATAATTCCCGTAGACAAACCAATTTAGGGTTAATAATCTGCTTCTAAAATATGTAAACGCTTTAGGGTGCAGTGCTTGCATAAATCCGAACTGAGATGTGTTTTGGGCCGCCTTATGCCCCTCGTAACTATATGAAAATGCCGAAAAACGGCGTAAATGACTAAACTTACACAGGTAATTACAGCCTGGAAATAGTAGCAGATATGTTTAGATTTTTTCGCCACCTTACACTGTGTTGTGATGTAACTATCTTATTACAGAGGTATTGTATTAATAACGTAAATTATATGTCTTGTGTGTGTATCTAACAACGTAACTAAGATACGGGATATGCTGCACTTATGATGTCAAATTACCTTCTCGGTGCACTTCACAGTAAATGGACGATGTCACATTGATGTGTCATAATGAGGAAATGTGGGGAGAATTATCAAATTCCTGACAGAATAACAAAATAATACGAAACATTTCCTTCTAGCGAGACGGGGAGTATAAGAAAAAATTATGGTAAATAAAGAAATTAACATTCAGGAATCCATATCCATTTTTATGTAAAACATGGTAGATACATCTTGTTTATTGTTCCTTACAGAGGACCCCGAGGAGCGAGTCAACCTGGCGGCGACGCAGGAGGCGGTAGTGAGGCAGATGCTGCAGGTCATTTTGCATCAGATGTCCCGCTATGTCCCTGCAGACATCAAACCCAACGACCCCTCTGCCAACCCCATCTTCTGGGGCAACATTTGGAGCCCAGGATGGTGTCAGCCCCAGAGTGCCTCACCGTAGTAAAAAAAAATATTGATAACTTCATGTCAACTCTGGGGCGGATCCAGGGGGCGGGGGGAGGGGGGGGTTCCAATATTTTTTTCTTTAATGCAATATTTTACTCAGGCATTTTTGTAAGGTAAAAACTAATTACTATTGACTTCAGAATATATCCTAATATCAAGTGCACATGGCTTCAAAATGACCCCAAAATGCCCATGATATTGGTCAGATTTAAAACAAGAATTCGGGGGGAGGGGGTATAGCGCACCCCTACCCAACTGGGTGGGCTAGCTCTGCTCGCCAGGCTCCTCCACCCACAACCTCTTGGACCCCGCCCCCCGACCCCCTCCCTCAATTTTGATATTCCTGGATCCGCCCCTGCAACTGAAATTCGTTCATTAGTGTCTCTGTGTATTTAGTTCAGTATTCATTAACATTCATTTATGACTCGAGATATAATTAATTTCACTGTTCACTGTTGTCTTAAGTGGTGAACATTGAGCTGATATAGTTAATGACATTATCTATTATAAGCAGGTACGAATTTAGAATGAGTTTTTACAATGTATTTATTGAGACAAAGAGTCGCCTGTTGCTGACGCGACCGTAAGGAAGTACTGTATAATTTAACTAAGGGCCATTTATTTCATCGTTTTCTGTATAAGGTAACTATGAGAAAATTGAAGATAACATCAGTGGGTAACAAAAACAGAATTCTTAAAAATAAAACCTTTTTTTTTTCGCCAATTATCAACCTACTAGCCGTCCGGGGGGTTGTTCTATCCACTGTGGGATACGGAAAAAAAAGGCGGACAAAAATCCCACAGGACATAAACCTCACCGGACAAAACCAACAACGGACAAAATCGCCCCATAGTAATAAATAAAACACATTTTATTTAAAGTTTTCAATAATTTTCTTACAAATCCACTTTGATAGTATCTCAATCTCTTACTAAGACAATGTATGTATGGAACATTATGACGTGTAGGTTATATGGTAAAGAATAAATTAAAACTCATGGTAGAAATAAAACAAACTTATTTAGATTTTTTTAACAATTTCTTACAAATATCATTACTGTCCTCACCTTTTGTGACCTCAGTGGACCCGTGACCTCACAATCTCTGGTCTCTCAGGTCTGTTTAATAACGTGTGGGATCATGAGACGAGCTGTATAAAAACCTTGTTCACTAATTCAGTTTTACTTAAGCAGTGTTTGAATACAGTCAGAAGCTAGATAGCTTGTTTCTATTTTTTTTACAAGTTTCATTTAATATTTTAAATCACGAGTGTTTTTTTAATTACTTTGTGGTTAACATTGTTATAATTATTTGTGAAATTGTGCAGTTAATATAACTAGGAAAAACTCTCTAAATACCTTTACTTCATAATGGAAATTATACGCAGCAATAAAGGTGAAGAAAAGCTATGTTATCGTGGCTATATATACACAAAGAAGTCTACGCCTTCTTCAACAAAACGCTGGGAATGTTCCAGGAGAGCAGCTCAGATTTGGATGTCCAAAAATATAATTTCCACCATAGACCACAACCACACACCAGATACATTTGCAATGGAGCAACAAAAATCCGACGGACTCTAAAAGAACGTGCAGTTGCCAACAGTGGAAATAATTGCCAGATCCTACTTGACAGTATGGCGGAGATGACTCAAGAGGGGCGAGTTGCACTTGATGGATTCCATTAAGAGAACTATCCGTAGACATCGACAGGCAGGCCGTCCCAAAGGTCCATAATCTCTTCAAGAGTTAAGAATTGAAGGCGAGTGAACAATGACAGGTGGATCAGACCCACACCCTTTCCTAATTCATGACAGTGGGATAGAAGCTAGGAACCGTATCATCATGTTTGCCACCGAGGAAGGTCTACGTCATCTGGCAGATTCCGACACGTGGCATATGGATGGGACTTTTACCTGTGCACCATCTCTATTTGAACAACTAACTATACATCATCCATGCCCCTCTTAGAGAATCTGCAGTGAGCTGTGTTTATGTCTTCCTGCCTGGCAAACCCCAAGAGATATATGAAGAAATGTTGACAGCAATTCATGACAAGGGAGAGGAACTTAGATTTTACATGGATGTCACAACAACAATCACATTTTTCTAACAAGCAGCCCTGAATGCCATCAGCAACAAGCTTGGTCCACATGTTAATGCTAAGGAGTGCTTCTACAACTTAACACAAAGTACCTGGCGAAACATCCAGAGCCTTGAGCTGAGTAACCGATACAAAGAAGATGACGATATCAAGCATTTCTGTGGCATGCTAGATGGACTTGCCTTTCTTCCTGTTGATCGTGTTTCTGATGGAATGGACTACATAAAAGACAATACTCCTGATGGACTTGAAGACCTCGTTGATTACTTTGATGCGACCTACGTCACCGCCGCATTGGACAGACCAGACAATATCCAGGTCCTGTGACAATGCAAGTTTTTTTTTTAAGGTGATTAGCCCACCCTGGCACAGGTTACTGACCCACATCAGGGCCTGGGGGGCGAAAATATGATAATGATAATAATAATAATAATAATAATAACTTATTATTATTATCATAATAATTCAAAAAATAATAACAAAATACTAAAAATATAAATAATATACTGAAAATAATAATAATAATAACCATAATTAAATACAAAAACGAGAAAAATAAATCAAGAATGAGAAATATACATTATGTATGTTGTGTTGTCAATAGTAAGAGAAACAATTGAGACCCTGTAATTGTGTGTAAATGAGGCTGAAAATCAGATCAGCAGCCTGGGACTTCGGTCACAATTTTCGTGATGCCATGTGGCAGCAGGGTCTACCATTAGAAACACATTATGCTTCCAATATCTACCCAGGCGGTAGTACCTCCCTGTTTGATAGCTGCCTGCTACCTACTCCTCCATTATTCTCACCAGACAAATGGCATATGAACCTAGTTGCAATTGACAACGAATACCGCACCACCAACCTCTGTGAGAGTTGTAATCGTGGATAAAACAGCTGGTGGGCTACCCTCAACCTGCAATTTGGACTGCTATTGAGTGCATCAAGAAAGACACAGCCATTGTGTCCATGCATCTTACACTTGACGCGAGAGGGCAACCACTTCAAAAACGTGTAAGACGGGAGACCAGAGACCTTCAAAAACGACTCAGAAATCTCTGTGTTGATTTTAGAGATGGCCGCAAGACATTGGAGGAAATGCCCGGAGGCATTAATAAGAGATATTGTCAGAGTGGATTTGTAAGAAATTAATAAAAAATCCAATTAGATTGTCTTATTACTTTAACGAGATAAATGTTGATGCTTATATAGTTTTAATTTATTCTTTATCATATATATTACATTACATAATGTTCGCTACTATAAACTTTAAATATATATATATTTTTTTTTTTACTGAGGGGATTTTTTCCGTTGTAGGTTTTGTCCGGTAGGGGTGAGGTTTTTGTCCAGTGGGGTTTTGTTATGGACCCATCCACTTTCAGTACAGGAGGAAACTGGGTACCGGGATACCTGTAATGTTTGGTAGGGTCGTGTTCACGTATTTCCGGGCCGAGGTTGGAACCCTTGACATGTTGGTGAGAGATATATAGCAAGGTATAAAGATTTATACCTTGACATACAGTGATTAAATCTTTTACTCATATTGTCAAAAATTGGTAATGCTTTAGAAGACTGACTCGTGATAACCAGCAACTAAGGGAAGATTTTCTATAAAAGAACTCTTATAGAAAAAAAGAAGATAAATTACAACTTTCGTAATTATTGTTACGAACCCATTTCACCTCTTACCCAGCTTCCACCACTGGTTACCAGCGGCCAGGTCGTATGTACACTCACGCGCCATGGTTTCGATGCACCCTCACCTCTACTCCTGTCTCGAGGGAAGTCGTAGCCAGGGCTGCAAACCGAACGGTCCCTCTTGTATAGTAATGTTAAGTATAGTGATGGTAAATAAAGTGTTGTGAAGACACTAGAAAAAACCTGTATCGTGCGTATATTCTCTCAAATATTACATCATGAACTGCTATTCGTACAATCTAGCGAAGCTTCGAGCTACCACATTGCACCACTGAACGATGAGTAGGGGGAAGTGAGAGTGGTTGGGGGTTGGGGAGGGGACTTTCGGTACGAAACCAAGGCCACGACTTCCATCGAGTTAGAAGTAGGGGTAGAGGGTGCATCGAAACTATGGCACGTGGGTGTACAGAAGCATTAGATATATCACAAGTGTTGTCGAATTACCCCTGGCTGTCCCGCCAATCTCCGGTAATTTCCCGACGATCGGTATCAGTGTACAGACAAACAACAGGCAGGTAGATTTCCATCAGATCACAGAAACACAGTTGTGCACTGTAGTCGGCTTTAATAGTCACTCATTTTTCACAAACTGTTCACAGGGTAATGTCTTCACAGCTGGACTTCTCACTTCGAATATACAGTCAGCACACTACCAATGTACAATTCCTTAGTCTGTTCACTTTATATTGATCACAGCAATTCCATAATACTTGCACAACAATTATCTTCAGTTGTTCTACGAGGCTTGTACTTTACACTTCGAACAGAAACGGCTGACTGAATCAAGACCGTTGTTGTTGAGATTGTCGGACCGTAGTCCGACACGGGCCTTTGCCTGTAGGCGGCCCGTTTGGTGGTTCCGGCTGGATTTCGTGGAGCAGCCAGACCGGATTTGGGATTTTGGGATGGAGGTTGTCCTACTTGCAGATATGAAAGGATACTGCAGGTTTGCAAGTGTGAGCGGACCCTTGGTCAGTGAGCGCTTACCACCAACGCCCACTCTTGGACGTGGTCAGTTTCGGAGTAGCGCGCCCCCCGAACCGAGGTCTGCACTTGCTGGGGGAGGATACTTCCTAAGCTATCTGGGTGGTGGGTATCGTGTGATGACCCGTAGAAGGTGGTGAATGTGGTTTGTTTGGGCCTTTCGGGTTAGAGTGGCCGCTGGTGTTGTGTGTTCTTGGAAGTTTCGAATTCTGTTTCGCAGACTTTGTGTGACTTAGCAGTCGAGGAGATAGTGTTCCAGTGGG